CCAAGATCAATTCTAACAAATATTTATATTTTCAATTAGCTTCACGCCTATCAGGGGTGCGCTCCGCCGTTTGAGACTGCCTCATTGAGACTGAGATTTCATAAATTTTTCATCCAGAATTTAATGAGAAATCTAAATTTGGTTCGACCGTGTGTCGTTAATATTTTCGTTATGCTGTTCACTCCTGTAAGCGTCCTGCAGTATGTTTATGCCAATTCCAAGCAATCCTATATATCACCATTGTGATTCATAATCTTAAATCAATTCAATATTAGGATACTGTTCATGTGACCTCTAGTACGAATTCACATAACATGACATATGCTTTCAAAAATAGGTTACCTATTTATACTCCCGTTGATTTCCAAATGAGGTTATTTTTGTAGCCACGCGCGCAATCTATCGATTAATTGTTATATTCTATCAATATCTTGTTTGTTTTACTTTGTATGCTCGATTTTATCTGTTTGTTTAGAAAGAGAAATAGAAATTGGCAAATATTGGAAGTAGATAACTTGTCACTTCACGATAATTTTATTAAATTAATCACGTTTTCCTTCAAATCTAATCTATTAATCATATCTATCTATAAAGATTGTATAAAATGTATTGTATATCAATATACAATCCAGTCGTGATATGATAATGAAACGTTATCTTGAGCAGGAAATCAAAATACGCGATATTCTATCATTTCTTAAAAAATTCGTGACTTAGAAAGTTAGGTATTGACAAATCTAGACCAACTACACATCACCAAACGTAAAAACCATCATCATAAGATTTATTAGAAAGATCTCACTGTGAGTTGCAATGCAAGATAAGATGATTTGGCGTTCCAGGAGTGCCTGTACCAATATGGAGGTAAATAATTTTGTTCGTCTACTTTACATTGAGTTGTGTAAACTGTAAAGGGACTGGAACCTATGGGCAGGGGGATAATCACTTGGATAACACAGACAGTCCCCGAACTCGTAATAGAACTCAAATAAGAAAAGCGGAATAAATTATGGCCTAACCCCAACCTGGTATACATACTACAGTACACAAAAATTTGATTCAATTAGGTAGAAGAAGAAAGCTTATTGGTATATTTTTTAAAATTTGACATGGTGCAATTATTACGATACTCACAAACTTCTCAGGTAATTACTTCGCTTCTAAATTCACACTTCCCGTTAACGGACGCCACCTGCTTTTGAAGAAGCTTTTATCCGCTATAATCCCTCTCAAGGATCGACGGATTAATCCAAGGGATACAAATTGAATCTCGCCCTGTTGTCATTATCAAAACCTATTATTACACGCATGGTTGAGCATCCATCCGGCCACATTCGATCATTCCTAATCTCTATTGAACGGCTGTTTTTTTTTTTCAAATGGTAATCAAAATCTGGATACTTTTATAGTCTGTAACTATGGCCAATATGTTCAATTCTTCAAAGCACTAATTTTATTCGCCAGCAGATATATTTGTCATCTGTGAATGGTCGCCGATGTCACGAAAATGTGATTTATTAAATTATTTATCATAAACAATAATAATTTTCCAAATATATATTTGTATAAAGAATGTACATTTCGAGATATGTAATTTTAAAACGGCGATGCGAAGTAGGTATTATCGAACATTTTGTCTGATCGAACAGTCATATTTTCAATATTTAATCGAAATCATCCAAACAGAAAATTAGTATGATTTAATATTGACCAGACCCCGTTTGAATCCACATAAATCATTCAAAATATAATTAAATACCGTGATCAACCTAATTACTATGTAGTCAGACGCACTGACACGGAAAGATCGATTTTCACTTCTATTTACGGCGCTTAGTAATGGCCACATCCCATCTCTTTCAATACTCATATTATAATAATTCCCTCTAATCCTCGCTCCAAATGCACACCCCCGCTGCACAGAGTAGACTAATTTACATCGCACTGACTCTAATTAGCGTAAAATACGCTTCCTGATATCCTTTGTCAGCTGTCCTTGAAAATTTAATCCGTAATTAAAAATAATCAAATCTGTCTTGGAATACGAAACAATGAGATATTCACACTACAACGCATTCTAGTAATTTACTGGAAACTTATTAGTGTTTTGAAACTTTATCTGGATGCAATCATGAATCAGGCATTTATAACGTCAAACAGTAAATGTTGAAAGGCGACATAGTTTGTCAGAATTCTAGACAAGCAAAATCATAAAAGGAATCACAGTTATCATAAATGAATAACTGTACAATGCAAGTTGATTTTACCACACTGTGACCAGTGAGAATTACCCCCTTTCAAGCATTTACGTAAACACTTATAAATAACCCTCAAATCTCGTTTGAAACAACACCGCCTATAAGTGTTTATGATTGAATCACCACCGTGGTGAAACAATTACGAATAGTTCATTTGTGCGATCTAGTTTATTTTCCCTGTGTTTATTGCATAGCTGTGAACCATTTTTGGTCAGTTGGAACGTTTGGTCTTCCTGCTGTGATGCGAGATTAGCAGTTCTTATACTACCTTCCGTGTTGACTTATATAGGGAAGTATGCCAGGGTTATTATTGAATCAAATGTTATGAATCATACTTGAATATGAAGCTCTCTTTGTACATGTATGCTGTCTGTTTGCTTTGTCCTATATACTCTATTTATATTTTAGAATGGAGATCTAATTCTATATCGGGAATCTTACGTATTCTTATTCAATATTGGAGAATGATGTTGGAAATATTTCTCTGAAAAGTTCGTTAATTACTATGTAAGTCTAAACAAAACTATCTAAAATCAAATTTCAAGAAATACTCTATGACGACATTTTGTTTACAATTAGTAATTATACATTCCCGCTGTAACAATGTCCAACCTCGCCATTTGTCTATTTCGTAATATCCTAGTCCACGCTCGTAAATTCCCCAGTACATCATCTATTGTTGAGTATTGAATAAAAACTGGGCGGCCGATCTAATTCTGATGACTGATCGTAAGGGCTTTTGTTACAGCATAATGACAGTAAAACAATTTTGTTTATGATACAATACGGGTGGCCGTTATAAGTGTTATTGTTATTTTGTCGCCGTGAAATCAGCCCGACGCGGTAATTTATGAAGACGTTACAATGTAGTAAACATATAATTATAGTATTAAAATGAAAGTTACTTTATACTACCAAAGGCGTACAGTGCAGTATCGGCCTACAGATTTCATCCAATTTTACTTTTTTAAATATTCAAATAAATTTATCGCCAATAATAAACTGGTCATACCAATCTCATTTTACCAAATAAGTTTCAATATGATTTAATAACCCATTTTGACTTCAAACTACTTTTATTATTGGCTATTCAGAAACAAATGAGAGCCAGCCAGAATGAAACCTTTACTATTCTGACGCGCATTGCACAATTTACATACATTATTCCCGTTTACAGCGCTATTTTCATGCCATATTTCTTTGAATTCTCAGCAATAAACTGAATTGAAAGTTATTGTTTCGCGATATTGCATGACTAGAATCGATATTATTTTGGAAATTATTAGAATTATATTCATAAACCAACCGTTGAATGATAATACAGGTTTGCCTGCACATTTACATATAAAATATTCACAATTTGACAACGTTCGGAAACTGGTCGGCTATACTTAACTCAGATTTAATCTCAATTACTTGAATGACTTCAGAGCAACCAAACAGTAAAAGTTGGGTAAATTTACATAATTGTTCATTGTTATTCTAGAACCCTGATTCTCAACCAGTAGACCATGGCAACGAAATTAGGCCACGAAAGAAAAAGGGTTGCGAACCACTATTCTAGAAAGAGTGTCACAGCAAAATCGAATCGAATTTCATCACTCAGCTCTCCCTGTGCCAAATAATATTGCGAGATATCATATTTGATATCTTATGTATGATTCTCTTTAATTTTAGGGATTATTGATATGTTTTATTACTTCAAGATGTTTTCAACAACTTGGGATTGGGATATTAAATGTCATATTAAATATTTTAGCTAGTTTAACCCGTTTGGACATGCCGAGTGGTAGTTACCAAAGTAATTAATTTAATGTAATACGCTCTAACACTTTTTCGCCATATGTGGTAATGAGTATGTATCTAACAACTGAGCAAAGGCTTTTAATTTCTATAACGTTTTGTTATCTGATTAAGGGTGTTAAAAGGGTTCACATTTCGAAGGCGATGAGAATCTTCCTCGTGGAAGCGTCATATTTGTCGATGTTTCGCAGACGGCGATAAAGTAAAGAACAAAGGGCATGTGTGTCTTAAATAAAGCCGTCAAGATAACCAGAGCAGATGGCTGCAGGGCGGATTTTAATGACAATAGGGAAATAGCGATAAAAATAAACGACAAAAAGACTGGCGTGGCGAAGGATTATCCCTGCTGGGCGATAATACAAAGAGATATAGAGAGAAAAGTGAGATAATGAAAAGAGAGGCATTAACAACCGTGATAAGAGAGAGCAATGGGCGTTTGTTTATTGAAAAGAAAAAAAGAAACGAGAGAATCGAAAATCGATGTTGAATAAAACGAGAGAAAAATACGCGGATGGGAACAGAATCAAATGCCTGCTCTAGCGCGGGCTGCCTGGCTGGTACATTTGGCGCAGTTTTATCAGGAAATAACAGCGGGAAATATTATCAGATTGTTCTTTTAGCGGGCTAGACATCATAGAAATTATTAATATATATTGCAGCTTGTACCTACAAAGGCAGTCAAATCCGATGTTGAGCTTACGCAAGACGTAAATCGAACCTTAAGTACTTTAGAAATACTCCGGAATACGATGGTTATCCATCCTGCAATGCACTGTACGTACCTTCTTATATTTCAGTTGGATATCAACATTTGGTCGTTGTAATCCACCGAAGGAAAGTCGGGCTCAATTTGTCACTCTCTCGGGCATATTCGTTGGTTCAAAATGGATTTAACTCGGGATTGTTTAATGTGATAAAATATCTTGTATTGTTTCATATATACTTAACTTATTTCTTTGTAAATTACAGCATATAAATAATACTCTGATTCATACGATATATAATAGACAGCAACTTCAGCAACAGAAGGATACGATAAACACTCAAAGATGGTTTTAAATATGGACACGGAACTTCAAAGACTTATATGTGTATCGGTCGAGAAAATGACAAGAGATCCGGCGGCAAGCGGATCACGCAAAAGCCGCGGATTGGACTTGAGAAAGGCCCTACTCGTGGCACATGTATTACAGGACATGAGAAGCGCATACATAAGCGATGATTATCAAGTTTTAGCAAACACTGTATGTCCGGATATTGATATTTCATCAGAAAATGAAATGGACAAAATTAAAAGGACAATATCAAGAAGGGAATATGATAATGAAGATGATTTAACGAGTTATCAGAAACGAAGATTTATATCAGGTGAGAATTCAAGTTCTAATATGTCACATACGCAGAACTTCAACATAGAACACAAAAAACATTCATCGAAACTATTTCCAATTAACAACATTGAATATATCAGGATACCGTACGGAATTACCCGCTATAAAATGTACATTAGCTTGATTGAGAGTAGGCGTGATTAAGTGTCGTGTAGAAACCTGGTTAAACTCGCACCAATACGCAAATTGCGTAGACACATGTTGCTTTTCTATACATTCCATACTTAGAAAATAATAAGATTAGCCATCCCACGAGCCTACTATAATTAGCGCTATTAATTGGATTGTTCTTTGTGACTTCTGCCAAAAGAAAGTATAAAATCACAATTTTCGATTGTATTTAGTAGCAGTATGGTTTTGCGTCACAAGAATTTGAATTCGAACAAATTTAATGTGAGAGCCAAAAGTACTCGAGATTGTTATGGCGACTAGGGTGTACACTTGAACATGCTCTGGCTCTCTATAGTAATTTTCTCGGACGACAAAAAGCGTCCTTCGAGGGTTATGGAGACTGTCGGTCGATAAAATCGATATGATTATACGCGACACGCAATGCGCAGTACACACAACGATATTTATTAGCCCTCTCTGTCCGTCTTAACGATTGCAGTATGCGGAAATAGATCGCATCACGAGATCCGACCCGTACGATGCTATTAAGCTAGTTTGACTGGGCGTTTTCTCATGTTTACTTTTCAACGACGAGTAATGTTTGGCATGTAGTTCCGCCGGCGTATAGCTTGTCAAATAAATATTTTTCCAGTGTGAGTTTATAATGTCTTTTTCTCTGTGTTAGCGAACAATGCGTTTGTTAAAAGCCCGCGAAATGGGCGTGTTCTCCTGGCGCGGTTTATTAACGGATAAAAAACATCTGCCACCGTTGATAATATGCAGACGGCGGATATTCGTTACATACCCCGCGAAATAGGCTTCAACGCATGGCTGTTGAAATCTCGCGCCTCATGTATGCTAATTACGTTCAGCGTCTCATTTGAAATTCAGACGTCTGTATAATTTATGTTAAGCCACAATGATAATATGTGACGGGTCTTCAAATATACAACAGGAATGTAAAATATTAATGTTAGCCTTCTATGACACGGCGTACATCCGTAAATGATAATGTCGGATAATATATCGATTTTGAAATCTAAATTTGCAAATCTTCCACGGCGAAAATCCCATAAAAGGATCGACTTTTCATATAAACAAAGCCGCCATAAAACAGAAATTCCTACTTCCTTCCTTATTTTCAATCAGCATATTTATGTGAAGTGACATTTACAGGCGTCCGGTGTTTGAAAACTGCTCATTAAAGAAACCCTACATTTAGAAGACCTCATGATCGCAATTCTCGTAAAATGTCTGCGCATAAATATAGATTGTATAATTGTACTTTACGTTGACCTCCATGGTTTATGTTACTCGCATTATGTCTCCCATGACCGATGGTTAGTATCCTCGTATTACATTCCCTGAGGCTATATTTTTGAACTCATTTTATTTTGTAATCAGTGTGGCGTTCCGGGCTTTAAATTCTTCCGCCTGGCTTCATGCCCCAAAAAACCTCAACAAAGACTCGGTATCGGAGATTCTACTGTTTTCCTATCCAGGGTGGCCGCTTAATATTACATTGGAAATCCAATAGCAAAATGTCACGCAAAGTAACGCTACAGTTCTATTTCAAAATAACCAATCAAGCGAAAAGCCTAACCCTACCCAAAATAAACACAGCCTTTTTGAGAGCAAATACCAAAATAAAACACCGTGGAAAATTTTAGGGTCAATAAAGGACTTCTTGTGGAATAAATGTAAACGCTCAATTGCTTATGCTTAGTAAAGTCATTTTTAAAATGAAATCACTGATTAAAAAGCGCTTTTGGTCCGTGCTTTATATTTTGAACAGCAAAACTTAAATCTCAAGTACATGTCAGTCACGTCTTTGTTAGGTAGTGTATTATTATTTCGACATAATTCGCCGTTATAAGTATTGAATTGTTTAGTTAAAGATTTTTTTTAAATGTTTTGAAAACTATGAAAGTGTATGAACCGGATTAAATGGGCGCGCGTAGGATTTCTAAATCAAAACTAATCGTATTATAAAACTTTAAACGAATTTTAAGAAAAGTTAATAAGATTAAAACTTGAAACATAATTGCATGGTTTAATCATTCCATCTTTTCAAGCACATACTCCGAACATATAAACAAAGATTCAATCTATAGTTGCAACGTTCTTATCACGTGCAAGATATTTTTATCCGGTCGTGAAAAAATCCCAAACTTTTAAACGTAAATAGAAACTGTGAGAGGATGATACATTACAATTTTAGTAAACAGCAGTGCTTCAAAATAAGTTCACGTTTCGCAAATTCCGGATGGAAAGGCGTCAATTGTCAAAAATTTCAAGTAGGCCGAACTACTTTGGCGTTACATAATAATACCGTACTTGAAAAGCCTTGTGACGTCATAATGGGATAATGCTGTGTTCAAAAAGCGCGCGAGTTTTAGTTTCTTTATGATGTTAATGCCACTTCTGTTTAAAGCACCTCTTGTTTTGAGTTTCTGAAAATGCGTTTTCTGATAAAGATAAAGAAATTAGGCCGAGTCTGACTAAATCCCCTTCCACTAGAAAAGCTCTCCATGCGCATTAGTAATCTTATTTTCGCTTCATTGGGGCAGAAACGAGGGCATATTATCGATTTACGGTACGTTACCGCGGACTCTAATTGCCCTCTTCGCAAAACTAGCTCTGTTTGCCTCGTTGCTGGAATGTAGCTTTGAAGGTCAGCGGGGGCTGTTTGTTCTTTCCCGCCGTCAATCAATACGCCCTTTCCCGCGCGCGGTTAACAATGCACCGTCGCTTAGCAGGTTACTATTTAAACTTCAATAATGGAGCAAATAATGTATTTAATGACGATTCGGGCGTAACAGGTTACGCAAGTTTTGTCAACTATAAGGAAGTTTGCAATAATTGCGCACTTAATTCATATTTTCTATTATTAACTCTGAACAAGAATCAGTATTGGCAATTGACGAGTTTTTATTTACAACAAATTTATATCATTTCCCCTCCACGACTTCCACCTACGTCATCAATTTGTAGTTTAATACCATGCACGGATTTGGAATTCCATTTTTGCATGTAATCAAGAATATCAACAAGTAAAATTTGGCATAAATTTAGCTGCTGAATTTCGTCTTGTTACCTTCGTTTCAAAATATTTTAAAAATAACCGATTTAGTTCATTTGAAAAGATTACAACAATTTAAAACTTATACTCTGTAATTAAACTTAAAAAGTAAAGTTCGTTTCGAAATTCAACTAAAATTATTTTTAATTATCAGACAATCGTGATCTACTTTAATTTCCCAGTCCTTATTAGGAACGATTGTAACGCCTTCAAAAAGGTGATTCATGTGGCTTTCAAAATTAGTTTTAGAAGAAATCTTCTCCCTACCTGGTAAATGACAATTAATCTATTGGCTATGCGGCAAAACCGAATATCAGTATAATAATTAAGTATTTTATTTTGCCTCAAACACGGATACCGCAAAAGGAAGCCTCGGTGAAATTACTCTTCAATTAGGTTTTAATAGCTTAAATACACCTTTGAATATACCCGAGTTGAATTTAAAAATTCTGACCAAAATTGCGCATCCTAGAAAGTAATATGAATTAACGTATATTTAGATTATAATTAATAGGAGTCGTCGCAGATGAATAATAGTTAGAATTCCTGTTTTTAATATGTAATAAAGTCTTTTCTATTGATGTGTATAAGCTTCCATAAGTACAAAACTACCCGCCGGACTTGCAAAATATAGATGGCATCTGCTTTGTATCGGTAATAGTTGATTTGTCACACGCTTCCATTGGCAGTAATATTTCGTTTTCGATCGCTACCATTGTGATTCAGATCCCGATATGATGTCACAATGCATCACCAATTGTCGTCGCCATATGGATGAAATACAATATAACGAATACATATGCTTATTATGTCATAAAAGAATGAATTCAAATACAACTGTTTTGTAATAAATATATCGCATTGGGTCACATCGCCTTGTATGTGTTATATACTTGTATGTCACCGAATAATACACTGTGTATTGTAAAAAAATACCGCACGGCGAAATTCTCTTTGTTTTTTGTTATCTGGCCTTTGCCTTTAAATCCTCAAAATATCTTTTGATTAAAAATTCCAGCTATTGTTTGGAGTCGGAAATTGTTAACAAACGGCAATGCGGGAGTCTTGTATTCCGACATACATCACATACGCGTTGTCAAACGAAACAATGCTTCTCTATTCGGTCATAAAAGTTTTATGTCTTTCATTATTTTCTCATATAAAAGAGGGAGTGCGTCGCAACTGAACAGACTGATTTCATTTTACGACCCACATTAAACGGGGCCAATATAATAAACGGCATACTGCGCATAACAGACAACAGAATATCACGATGACATAATGCGTAATGCCAACTTATTTTACCACAAACTCGGCTATTTAAATACAAATAGTCTTTTAAAGGAAATTTTACGATGTTTAATTTTCCGTTCAAACATGCTTACATAATTCAGTATTACATACCTCGCAAACAGGCGTAGAAATGATGCAAGAGCAATCTAGTGACTTAGTAATTGATTAACTTACTATTCAGATAAACGTTTGTGACTTCTATGTCAACAAACCGGTATGTGCGGTAGTTGTACAGTCAGACACGGCGCGGAAGATTGTCTTTCCGCTGATTACACATGTTTACTTTACACTCACGTGCTAATGGCTACGTGGCATTATCGAAAATATCAGCATACACACATTAATACTAAGCTTTTAAATTTTAATGATACTAGTTGGCTGTAAACTAAATGTCTTCTCTTTTTATTTATAGATGATTGGTCGTCAGGAACGATAGAGAGACCTCCACGAAGTGAGGGCAACGATACTCCGTTTCTGACATCACAATACAGATGTCCGTCAGGGACTCAATCTTGTTTAGTGACGTGTAGTGACGCAACAATGTCAAAAATTTCTCAAATGACACACCCAATTCCTGTTTCAATTAATACAACCTATGTATTGTCGCCACATCTAACAAATGAAAAAGGTAATTATCAATTTATTTTGCTTTTTCTAAGCTTTTAACTCACACGCCGGACTTATGTTTTATTAGCACTTCTTGTTTTCTTGTTATTCATAATTTATTTTCACTTTTTAGATAATGAAGAAATTATAGATATGGATGAAGACACACCGGCTGTGTCTGAACAAGTAGAAGTCACATCATCAGACATTTCGGACTCAGAGTCCGTAGAAATTGAGGTAGTTCAATGTGATGATCTACTAAACAACCCCCAGAGTCCGGAAACTATCGTGGACAATAAGTCAGAAATCACTGTGAATACGGATTTAACAAAATCTCAGGGAAATAACCGACCATCTATCTCATGTCCCCTTCCTCGGAAAAAACGTCCGCTGCCGAAAGAATTCTTGGAGCCCACAGTGAATGAAAACACGAACATCTCGACATCTCATCAGCCCATCAACAAAAGGACAAAATATGACGTAACTGTGACGTCATCAACTTGTGACGTAGTGGTCACATCGTCGTATTTTGTATTAAACACTACGACTGCAACAACGTTAACTCAATCTACAGCTTTGTCGAAATCACGCCTCTCACCCGCCTCCCAGACAGGAGCTTCTCAAAGCTGCTTAACACTGACATCTAGCGTATGTACTTCCAGTTTATCTTCGACATCGACAGCAAACACACTCGCTAATTCAAACTCAAAACCTAAAGTAGTTGTTGAATTGATGAACAATCAGTCTTCGTCGAATGGACATTGGTCTCTTCCAGTAACGTGTACCCAACCACGGTTGTCCCAGTGGATAATGGATGGAGTATACAGAGCCCAATTAGCAGATATATCTAATATGCGAGACAATAGCATTCATAATGTTGGTATGAGAGGTCTCGTTGCTTATTAGTGCACTGTTTACAAAATCGGTAAAATGAATGTGTATTTGATGGCAATTGGGATGGATATTACTGTCTCGGACTTACCCAAACAAATTCGGAAAAATTGCCAATAAATGCGCATTGATTTCACCGATTTTTTCCTCGCGTGTGATTTTGATGTTTTTCTTAATTTTGACTCTTCGATTAATGCTACATGCGTTTTCGAATTAAAAAGGTTCCGTATTAGATTTATTTTGTATAAAAAAAAAACGAATTTTAATGGAAAAATAATAAATAGAAAAATGTTGTGTAAAATTAGAATTACGTCTAACTTACGTCACAATCGTGACGCGAACCCGAAAAGTTGTTCCCTGTGTCACTCTCTATTTTTTTTCTAAGTTCAGTTTCTTTTTTGTTTTCTTGAGATTTTGCACGATTTTAGTTTTTTTTTTCAGTGATTTTCATCTATTTGTAACTACAAAATTAAACAAAAATGGAATTTTATCCTTGAAATTGCTGCTAAAATTGAAAAAAAAAATCTAAATAAAGTTATCGAAATTTTAATCTGAGACATGGTAATAATATTGGGGAATCCAAAATCTGATGCCTTTATTCATTCAAATTATAATGCATGAGAAATACAACGATTGTCTTTTCTCTGCGAAGTTATAGATTCGATCTTGCTGCTATTCGGCCCATTATGTTCCCGTTAATTCGGATCAGGCACAAAATTTTATCCGAATATCTTAAAAAATGTGATATATTTTTAATTTTTTTGGGGTGATTTTATCTTCTTTATAAAATGATGTGCAATTTCTTGATTATTTTCTTTGTTTTTTTGCGCTTCACCATCACTGGTGGTTTTTATTATTTTTTGCTCAAAACTTTGAAATTTGTTTCCTTATTATAATTTTTCTTGAATTCTAGTTTTTGATGATTTTTTCTTGAATAAAGAAGATTCTGCACTCAGAGATAAAAAATGTTGTCAAATGTGACTCTTCAAAAGTAGCTAATACAACTGTTAGTAAGAGTAGAAATATGGATAGCGATACAGAATTGGTCACATTGTAGAATCGCTAATGCTGACTCCGTGACAGTTATGTAGTTTCAAGGGAAAGACGAGGTTTACCAACACTACAAAAAAGCGTGAAGTACTCGCAACAATATATGTGCTAATAGTCAATTTTAACGTACTGAATCGAATTGATGTTGAGTCTCTATATCAATTTTTAAAAGAAATAATAGGGATAGAATGAACACTATATAGGGAATACCCTAAAATTGCTGCATCAACGTCTTAATGTAAGTAGAATTATTACAATGGATGGGAGGAGTCAATTGGATAGCAAATAAAATGCGTCTTCAAAAGTAGCTTATGTGAATGGCGACATGGAGTTAGTCATAATGTGCTTGGTTTTGTCTAGCACAGATAGAAGCATAGCTTTGCAAGAAAGAGGTTCACCGTTGCAACAAAAATTGTGAAGTACTCTCAACATAATAGTCGATTTTAATGTTCTGGCAATCGGATTAATTTTTGTTTTCTACTTCAATTTTTAAATGAAATATTAGGGGTAGAATGAACACTATAGGGAGTAAACTGGAATAGGGATACAGCGTAGACTGAATAAATCACTGAACGAGAATATCGGTCAGAGACCGAAGACTTATCGATCGAAAGCTAGGGGATCCCCAAAACAGCGCTTCTACACCCTAGTGACACTTTGTGTCCCATCACTAATTAATTAATAACTCGCTAATCTACGACATAATTCGCCCGAAATCAATAGGCTACAGGTACGTGATATGATGAATGCACATGCACAATCTGCAGCAGATCCAATCTCACTTTCGTGAGATATCGCGTGCATCTAACAGACAGACAGATAAACAGACAAATACCTATCAACATACTTACCGATTAAAATCGATAAGTAATAATCTATTCGAAACAATTGTCGATTTCATTGTACTGACAATCGGATTGATTTTGAAGCGCTACATCCACATTTGAAGTGAATTATAGTATGGGGTAGCTAAAACGGCTATTGAGCTCATATCAATCCCAGCAATAGTTCATAAACTTCACTTGCGACACCGGTCGTTGGGGGAAAACGTAGAATGAGTAAATCACAAAACGATTGCGCATGATTGCCACCGAGTATATACATGTCGAATATGAACAAAGCACAACGGGAACGGGTGTTAGCAAAGCGATGTAATTTTTTACGGGGCGAATTTCTGTGCAGAAAAACTTCATCAGGGCTATGGAAATGAAACCATGGCGACCCAAGGCGTAAAAATCTCAAAACGCGATAAAATGACAATAGATCTATGTGATGAATTAGCGCAACTTCAGTTAATGCTAAAGATAAACTCCATTTCATTGTAAAAACAACACAACAAATCTGTCATCGGAATATATTTTGAGAACTTTAGCGGAAGTTCTTCTTGGCGTCTATGAATGTCGTTTAGGGTTTCAGTGTGTTCAATGGGCCCAATCACCACAATCAAAAGTTGGACAGCTCATACGATTTTTTAAATACTTGCATAAGATTGACTATCGCTAATAAGATATGGTCCATTTCAATAAAATATCATTCATTCCAAAAATTTCATTCCCTCGAGAACATTAGCATGGTAAAGTCAACTCAACACTGACACTTAGCGGCTGGCGATCACGCAATAAATATAGTATTGAAAAGCTCAAACGTTCAGAGACGTTCCGTATATTCTAATAAAAATTTACCATCTTGGTTAGTTTCCAACCTCATGTTAAAGAATCGGCGATCCAGAAGTATGTGTACCAATATGGAGGTAACTAATTTTGTTCGCCTATTCAACTTGTGTAAAGGGAAGGAAGCATATCGGCAGGGGGTATATTCACTTGGTCAACATAGACAACTCCCGACTCGTAATAGAACTAAAATAAAGAAAATCGGAACAAAATTATGGTCTAACTCAGGGGTCTCCAACACGCGGCCCGCGGGAAATTTCTTGAGGCCTGCGTAATGGTTGAGATTTCCAGAAAACACTAAATTAGTACGATGTTAACTATGAGTTTCATCGTGTTCATATTTTATACTATTGTAAAAATTAAATCGTAAATTCAATAATTTCATTTCGCGTTTTTATTATGACTGACAAAATAAAAGTTTCGGTCAGATCATTGAAGTGTGCAGTTACGAATCATTAATTCTGCAAATGTGCAGTTAAAGCAAAACTAGATTATTTTAAATTTTTTATAAAGTAGTAAACCTATACGCAATGCACAAGATGTAAAAATGTTCGGAAGAGCACAGAATATTTTAAGAGAAGTGGGTTGATCTTTATTTTGTCTGATATTATAATATCAAGGTTCAGTGTCTGGTGTTGTGCAATTATTGCTGTCCAAAAGGAATACAACATCCGGCGATATTACGACACGACTCATTACATAGGGGAAAATACCACGGCTATACTGAAACAATTCGTCACGAAAAGATATCGCAATTAAAATTTTCACTGATGAAACAGAGAAATTTTTTCTCAGACAAACAAAAATTGTGAAACTTCGGTGAAAACTTTGCCATAAATGAGATGATTGCGAAATCGTGGCGTTCTTTCGTTGAAGGAAGCTTTAATAAAGGGTGTATGTTGAAGGTTTGTGAAGTAATAGCAGCATTATTTTCCAATAATGAACGTTAACAAATCAGCCTTTCGCACACGACTAACGGACAAGAGTTTGTATGTTGTCTTAAGACTACCAAACCAACGCTAAATAAGGCCAAACATCGAGTTTCTCACCTCTACAAAACGGTGCCAAATATCCAGCACAAGTAAATGAATATGTTTATGTCTCCTATATGGTGAAAGATTCAAGTGCAATTTTAACAAATATATTCAAACTTTCTTTGTTATTTTTTGGGCTATCCTGGAGCATGTGCACCAAGATGGCGGACACCGGAACGTAGTATGTGTACCAGGTTAGGATTGAGGCAAAATTTTATTCCAATTTTTTTATTATGGTTCTATTACAATTTTAGGATCTAGCCAAGTGACTCCAGCATTATTTGTACCTGAAATATGGTCTAATCCTAAACTGGTACATATACTACGTTCCGGTTTCCGCCATCTTAGTGCACATACTACGGAAATACCATTTTTTGTATATCAATTTTGTACCTAATTTGTTGGTTCGCGGCCCGCGTCGTCAATAAATTTTAAAAAGTGACCCGCCACCTATTTTGGGTTGGAGACACCTGCTAAATCTTACCTGGTACACATATCACGGAAGTGCCAAAGAATCTTTATGCAGAAATGAATTTTTGTACCATATCCGCGGTTAGAAAATGAGCTTATGGTCAGTCACGTTCCATAAAACCAAAGCTGCTGATTTAAAATTTTCAACAAAAAGTTTACAACATCAGAGCTTCTTGATATGACAGTAAAAAGTTCGTCTTCTTTCGATAGCAATGCAGTATTTTGAAACGAAAATCTAGCGAAGACACAACTCTGGCAAACTGGAAAAGTTAAAGCTGCTCGTTGTTTTTTTGGTACTTCCGTAGTGTGGGTACCAGGTTAGAGTTAGGACAGGGGTGGGCAACTTCTCTAGTCGGCGGGCCAGATGTGGAAAAATGAAGTCCTCGGCGGGTCGGATTATTACAAAAAATACTTCGGTATGCAATCTTTATTAAATCAACATTCTCTGTCAACTTTACGTTTCTTGTGATATTCCATGGAAAACTTAGTATGAAATCTAATTTAAAAAATCTATTTATATTTAGAATCTAAATATAAATATAACTGGTAACAGTAGTGGGGAATGTTTACAACGCTCTCTGCTTTGACCTTATATTGTCTGTTTAACGAGTGTGCTAACACAATTGTTTGTTCAGTAAGGCAATTGTTTATTCCACCAGGTCGCACTGTCAGTGCGGTGTAAGTAGAGCGATCGGCAACTTTCAGGAATGATTCGTCGGACCACGTTACAGAGTGTGGTTGGATACAGTCGCGGGCCGGACCCGGCCCGCAGGCCGTATGTTGCCCACCCTTGGGTTAGGACATAATTTTATTCGGATTAACCTCATTTTGATTCTATTACGAGTTCGGGGACCGTCTGTGTTAGCCAGTATACCCCCTGTCCATTGGTTTCAGTCCCTAAAACAAAACCTGATGTAAGGTGGACAAACAAATTTAGTTACCTCCATATTGGTACACACACTTCTGGAGCGCCGTTAAGCTGGTGATCATTTCTCCGCTACAGTTCCACTAGCGCTGACGAGATTTGTAATGTTAAAATAATAGAAATTAATAGCAACCTCATATTCTGCCGATACTGTACATCAGTCATCGGACCTCCGTATTCATATATTTGAGCATTGCTGTCATGTTTAATGGGGGGTAGTACCTACATGGGAAAATAATGCAATGAGGACTTTATGATCTGGAGAATGTTTGGGAAAGTTGGGCGAACACAGCATATATATTAATCATTAATATACACTTCAGTATTTGAAATACTTGCACATTGGAAACAAAATTAACATCAAGTCAAGTTGAATGTTCGGAAATTATGGCCCAGCGCACACAATATAACAGTTTGATTGCACTCTTTGTGCGAAAATAAACTGTCAAAATTCGTTCAGGTAATTTTAGGATTGACTGCCATAACTTGTCGCGTACCGATGTGTGGTATTGAATATAATTTAAGTAATTTTCAAAGGATGGAAAAATAAATTTCTTTCTCAATGTTTCGGATTGATATAATATAACGGATTGACGGTGAACGTTGTTTGCGAAGCCATGTACTTAAGCGTATATAAAGCACGGTTATGAATGCAACTCGATGATCAAAGTTCAAATAAATAAAATACGAAACAAATATTTACTGACTGGCTGGTTATGGGTGTGGAGATAATGTAACGTAACAAACACTGAGATATTGTGACTCGCACAGGTATGCTTGGAGGCTTTGTAACACGCCAGGGTAATAATTGCAAGCGCTTCTAACATGGAAAATAACTTGGAGAATTTGATTCTTGAAGGTTAGTAGAATACCAAACGTTGTTCCTAAGACTTGAATTTAGATGGGTTATTGTAGAAGCATTAGGCATTACTTTAAACGGGGCTTTCCATAAGCCATTTTTAGGGTGCTTAAAATTAGGAATTGTGAAATTTATGGTTAGTACTGAAAATAGAGTTGATGACAGTGATACTAAGAATTACTGAAGACTATCTAAGAAGCGTATTTTAATGTTCTAGTTGAGATATTTTATGTTTATATTGTTACGTTGTAAATACATAGGTTCGAAATTAATATGTTAGAAGTTGCATCGTTGTATTTCAGGTGAGCGATAAAGAAGTCGCGATATTTTTCCATAATACCCTATTCTCCCTCTATATTTTGCCTATGTGATGGTGTTCCGTCTTTACACGACAAAGCGTTAGAACAATTAGAAATGCATGCATTCTTATGTTTTTGAGGAATATAAAACGCGGTGAATAGAAAAATTAAAGAAAATACTAACATTTCAAAACAAAAGAAATCAGTAGCAAGTCGCATTCTTTTTCGTTAATCAGTAACAGAAAAATGCAACACAGTGTTTAGAAGAATTACAAATATTATTGTTATCAACAATTTTTGTTTTTTCTTATTTGCAGGTAAAGTACCTGGTTTGCTCAAGTCGTGTCGTTATTCAGAAGCGTTGAAAACTCTTGAAAAAATTAACCTTGACGACACCGATACGTGGAGGAAGATATATTTGCTTTTAATGCGACTCGTCTGTCAGATAGAACTGGAAAATAATCACAGTGCTACTAAGACGCTGCTGAGTATTGTTAACAGCACTAAAAGTACGCAAGTAACGGGAGCAGAGTTGGATAGATGTGTAGACACATATCTATTGGACGGCGATATTATACCTGCATTCGCACTTTCCTATACAGCGTGTGAATTATATAAATCATCATCGAGTCCCACTGGAATTGAAAAATGTGTTACCAAGTTGGCTGAGGCTATCGTCAAACCAAAACCGCCGTCTAAATCCAGAGGCATTAACATCAAGAAAATACGTAAATTTTTGCAAAGTCATCTAGTGCCAGCGCTATGGGAAATATCAAACGGCCTGAATGCCATGGAATGCATCGGAAGAGAAGAACGCACAAAATTATTTGGAAGTTGTGTATATCAAATTTCTCAAGTTCTCTATGAACTTCGACAATATGAAAAGGCAATTTCAATATTAAAAAAATCTATTGAGGCCCTAATGTCATATCCACCGTCGATGGTACTTGGCGATAGTATCATGTTACTGGCTTCTATCTATCAAAAGAAATATGGTACTCCGGAGGCCCTTGTTCAGTATTACGTAGCTAGAGTTGTTTTTCTAAGCATGAATATACTTTATGGATCTGACAATTCGGAAAAAATTGCCGAAGTTAAAAAGGCCATATATTACTGCGAAAGGTACCCATGGCTTAAAAAGTATATGATTATTTTTATAAGTATGGTTGTCATTATTATATGTATTCGTATATTTGGAAACGAAGATATCTGTTTATCCTTTGTTCTTGTCCTGGCCTCACTTCTTTTACATTGATCTAAATTGCATACCAAAACGGGTGACGCCACTTTGGTATGCGTTTAATCTCCTAAAGAGACTCTCATAGAATTCATTTTCTATCTCTAACCCGACTTAAAATTACTGGGACCACAGGACTGTTGAGATCACATACCAAAGTAGCATCGATGAAATATTAAATTGAATAAAATACATTTAAGGCAAAAATGTACAATGTACTATATAAATATGTCGAAATTTTGATCTAAGACATGGTAATAATATTGGGGAATCCAAAATCTGATGCCTTTATTCATTCAAATTATAATGCATGAGAAATACAACGATTGTCTTTTCTCTGCGAAGTTATAGATTCGATCTTGCTGCTATTCGGCCCATTATGTTCCCGTTAATTCGGATCAGGCACAAAATTTTATCCGAATATCTTAAAAAATGTGATATATTTTTAATTTTTTTGGGGTGATTTTATCTTCTTTATAAAATGATGTGCAATTTCTTGATTATTTTCTTTGTTTTTTTGCGCTTCACCATCACTGGTGGTTTTTATTATTTTTTGCTCAAAACTTTGAAATTTGTTTCCTTATTATAATTTTTCTTGAATTCTAGTTTTTGATGATTTTTTCTTGAATAAAGAAGATTCTGCACTCAGAGATAAAAAATGTTGTCAAATATGACTCTTCAAAAGTAGCTAAAAGTAAGAGTAGAAATATGGATAGCTATACAGAATTGGTCACATTGTAGAATCGCTGATGCTGACTCCGTGACAGTTATGCAGTTTCAAGGGAAAGACGAGGTTTACCATTACTACGAAGAAGCGTGAAGTACTCGCAACAATATATGTGATAATAGTTAATTTTAACGTACTGAATCGGATTGATGTTGAGTCTCTATATCAATTTTTAAAAGAAATAATAGGGATAGAATGAACACTATATAGGTAATACCCTAAAATTGCTGCATCAACGTCCTAATAGTAGAATTATTACAATGGATCGGACGAGTCAATTGGATAGCAAATAAAATGCGTCTTCAAACGTAGCTTATGTGAATGGCGACATGGAGTTAGTCATAATGTGCTTGATTTTGTTTGGTCTAGCACAGATTGGACAGCATAGTTATGTAAGAAAGAGGTTCACTGTTGTAACAAAAATTGTGAAGTACTCTCAACAATATATGCGCTAATAGTCGATTTTAACGTACTGACAATCGGATTAATTTTTGTTTTCTACATCACTCTTAACTAGAAATAATAGGGGTAGAATGAACACTATAAGGAGTAAACTGAAATAGGGATAGAGCGTAGACTGAATAAATCACTAAACTAGAATATCGGTAGGAGACCGAAGACTTATCGATCGAAACTGCGGTTTCGATTCATGACTCTATAGTGACACCGCGCGTCCCATCACTAATTAACTCGCTAATTATACGACATAATTCATCCAAAATCAATAGGTTCTGGTCCGAGATATGATGATTGCACATGCAAAATTTGCAGCAGATTCAACTTCGCCTCCGTGAGATATTGAGATATCGCGTTCATCTAACAGACAAACAGACATACAAACATACAAATACCTATCAACATACTTACCGATCTTAAGATCGATAAGTAATAATCTATCCGAAACAACTTGAAGTGTGATCGAGATACTCCAATGCGCGGTGTCCACATTTGCAATACGCTAATGCAATGGGCTGGACGAGGCAATTGATTGTCAAATGGAATCTTCAAAAGTAGAAGATTAGTAAGAGTAGAAATGGGAATTGCGATATGGAATACAGTACTTGCTGTTGGTCTAGCGTAGATAGTCCCGTTCCCTCTTTCCAATTCCAGTAACCTAAAAGAGCTTAGTACTCGCAATATGGGATAATTGTCGATTTCATTCAACTGACAATTGGATTGGTTTTGAAGCGCTACATCCACCTTTGAAGTGAATAATAGTAGGGAGTAGCTAAAACGGCTATTGAGCTCATATCAATCCCAGCAATAGTTCATAAACTTCACTTGCGACACCGGTCGTTGGGGGAAAACGTAGAATGAGTAAATCACAAAAGAATTGCTCATGGTTGCCACCAGGTATATACATGTCGAAGATGAACAAAGCACAACGGGAACGGGTGTTAGCGAAGCGATGTAATTTTCTTACGTAGCGAATTTCTGTGCAGAAATACTTCATCAGGGCTATGGAAATGAAACCATGGCGACCCAAGGCGTAAAAATCTCAAAACGCGATAAAATGTTATTAGATCTATGTGATGAATTAGCGCAACTTCAGTTAATGCTAAAGAAAAACTCCATTTCATTGTAAAAACAACACAACAAATCTGTCATCGGAATATATTTTGAGAACTCTAGCGGATGTTCTTCTTGGCGTCTATGAATGTCGTTTAGGGTTTCAGTGTGTTCAATGGGCCCAATCACCACAATCAAAAGTTGGACAGCTCATATGATTTTTTAAATACTTGCATAAGATTGACTATCGCTAATAGGATATGGTCTATTTCAATAAAATATCATTCATTCCAAAAATTCATTCCCTCGAGAACATTAGCATGGTAAAGTCAACTCAACACTGACACTTAGCGGCTGGCGATCACGCAATAAATATAGTATTGAAAAGCTTAAACGTTCAGAGACGTTCCGTATATTCTAATAAAAATTTACCATCTTGGTTAGTTTCCAACCTCATGTTAAAGAATCGGCGATCCAGAAGTATGTGTACCAATATGGAGGTAACTAATTGTGTTCGCCTATTCAACTTGTGTAAAGGGAAGGAAGTATATCGGCAGGGGGTATATTCACTTGGTCAACATAGACAACTCCCGACTCGTAATAGAACTAAAATAAAGAAAATCGGAACAAAATTATGGTCTAACTCAGGGGTCTCCAACACGCGGCCCGCGGGCAATTTCTTGAGGCCTGCGTAATGGTTGAGATTTCCAGAAAACACTAAATTAGTACGATGTTAACTATGAGTTTTATCGTGTTCATAATTCATTCTATTGTAAAAATTAAATCGTAAATTCAATAATTTCATTTCGCGTTTTTATTATGACTGACGAAATAAAAGTTTCGGTCAGATCATTGAAGTGTGCAGTTACCAATCATTAATTCTGCAAATGTGCAGTTAACGCAAAACTAGATTATTTTAAATTTTTTATATAAAGTAGTAAACCTATACGCAATGCACAAGATGTAAAAATGTTCGGAAGAGCACAGAATATTTTAGGAGAAGTGGGTTGATCTTTATTTTGTCTGATATTATAATATCAAGGTTCAGTGTCTGGTGTTGTGCAATTATTGCTGTCCAAAAGGAATACAACATCCGGCGATATTACGACACGACTCATTACATAGGGGAAAATACCACGGCTATACTGAAACAATTCGTCACGAAAAGATATTGCAATTAAAATTTTCACTGATGAAACAGAGAAATTTTTTCTCAGACAAACAAAAATTGTGAAACTTCGGTGAAAACTTTGCCATAAATGAGATGATTGCGAAATCGTGGCGTTCTTCCGTTGAAGGAAGCTTAAATAAAGGGTGTATGTTGAAGGTTTGTGAAGTAATAGCAGCATTATTTTCCGATAATGAACGTTAACAAATCAGCCTTTCGCACACGACTAACGGACAAGAGTTTGTATCTTGTCTTAAGACTACCAAACCAACGCTAAATAAGGCCAAACATCGAGTTTCTCACCTCTACAAAACGGTGCCAAATATCCAGCACAAGTAAATGAATATGTTTATGTCTCCTATATGGTGAAAGATTCAAGTGCAATTTCAACAAATATATTCAAATTTTCTTTGTTATTTTTGGCTATCCTGTAGCATGTGCACCAAGATGGCGGACACCGGAACGTAGTATGTGTACCAGGTTAGGATTGATGCAAAATTTTATTCCAATTTTTTTTTATTATGGTTCTATTACAATTTTAGGATCTAGCCAAGTGACTCCAGCATTATTTGTTCCTGAAATATGGTCTAATCCTAAACTGGTACATATACTACGTTCCGGTTTCCGCCATCTTAGTGCACATACTACGGGAATACCATTTTTTGTATATTAATTTTGTACCTAATTTGTTGGTTTGCGGCCCGCGTCGTCAATAAATTTTAAAAAGTGACCCGCCACCTATTTTGGGTTGGAGACCCCTGCTAAATCTTACCTGGTACACATATCACGGAAGTGCCAAAGAATCTTTATGCAGAAATGAATTTTTGTACCATATCTTCGGTTAGAAGATGAGCTTATGGTCAGTCACGTTCCATAAAACCAAAGCTGCTGATTTAAAATTTTCAACAAAAAATACAGTACCTATTTTCCTCAATCGAACAAACCCAATAGTAATTTCAATGCCGAAGACGTAAGATCTGTGACAGTGCCCGCTCATGTTTGAGGGCGGGTAGGCTACGAATTTGAGGAGTTCGGATGCGATTATATTAGGATTATTGAAAGTTTACAACATCAGAGCTGTTTGATAGGACAGTAAAAAGTTCGTCTTCTTTCGACAGCAATGCAGTTTTTTCGAAGCGAAAATCTAGCGAAAGCGCAACTCTGGCAAGTTAGAGTTGCTCGTTGCGTTTTTAACCTTGTTCTCACGTTTCCGCTACTTCCTAGTACTGACGAAATCTGCTATACGCCGCTGGAACGTAATTTGTCTATGGAATTGATTAAACCAGAAGCCGCATGTACTTTCGGTGCCTAGCTTTAGTAATTGAATCTTTGTGCCATTCATTTCTGCATTGCTATCTTGTTTAAAGAATTGTAGTACTTGGTGCAAACAATACAATAAGGATGTTTAGTGACGAGAATACTTGGGAAATTGGGCGAACACATGATATATATATATATTAATCATCAAAATACACTTCAGTACTTGAAATATTTGCAACTTGGACACAAAATTAACGGCATTCCACCCGAAGTATGTGAACCAAGATGGCGGACACTGAAACGTAGTATGTGTACCAGGTTAGGGTTAGGCCATAATTTTATTTCATTTTTTTTTAATATTTTAGTTCTATTACGAATTTGAGGACTAGCCAAGTGGCACACGTAGTCTTCGTACCCGCAATTATGGCCTAACCTTAACCTGGTACACATACTAGGTTCCAGTGTCCGTCATCTTGTTTAACATACTTCGGGAGTACCAAATTAACTTCAAGTCATGTTGGATTTTTAAAAATTATGGGCAAACGCATACGGCAATTTGAATGTATAGCACACTGAGTGCGCCAAAATGAACTGTCAAACTTAGGCATATGAAAAAATATTGTCCAAACTCCAGCATGTTCGAGTATTGTTGGAGAACGAAGCCTGTCCTTACAAAATATGGGGTCTCAAAGATGTAGTGGAAATCAAGGTCAAAAATTGGAGTCCAAGTTCGAATATTGAACACCAATGCAGCCTATTATATTAAATAATTGATTTGGTGCGTACTCGAATATTTAGGGTCAAATTGTGGCGCTCCAGAAGTGTATGTACTAATATGGAGGTAACTACTTTTGTTCGCCTATCATACATCAAGTTGTGTAATGGGACTGACCCTATGGGCGGGGGGTATATATAGCTTTTTTTTTGTCCCGATGTATTGCATTGATTATCATAGAGGTAGTTTTTCGACGGATGGAAAAATGAATTTCTTTCTTACAGTTTCGGATCGATATAATATAACGGATTTACGGTAAACGTTGTTTGCAAGCCCATCCATGCTTAGACGTAAAGCACAGTTATGAATATGATGAAGTATAATCAAATAACGACCGAATAAACAAAGTAAAAAGCTAATATTTATTGACTTCATGGTCATGTGAGTGACGATAATGTAACGAACATTGGGATATTGTGACTCGCCCAGGTAGGCTTGAAGGTTTTGTAGCACAACAGGATGATAACTGCAAGCGCTTTTAACATGGAAAATAAATTGGAGATTTTGATCCTTGAAGGTTAGTAAAATATCGAACGATTGGTGCTCCCGAAGTATATGTACCAAAATGGCGCACCACCTGAACATAGTATGTGTACCAGGTTAGGGTTCAGGTTGTGCGTCATCTTGGTTCACAAACTTCCGGAGCGCCCTCTTCTTAGAACTTGAATTTAAATCGCATACAAGACAGGGTATTGTACAAGCATTTAATAGGGCAACACACAGAAGCCATTTTCGGAGTCATGAGAAAAAAAATTATGAAGTTTATGGTTTGTACTGAAAATAGAGTTGATAGGAGTAATACTAAGGAATACTGAGGACTGCCTCCGAGGTACTCCCGTAGTGTGTGTACCAGGTTAGGGTAAGGCTAATTTTATTCCGATTTTCCTTATTTTAGTTCAAATACGAGTTTGGGTCTGTCTGTGTTAGCCAATTGAATATATCCCCTGTCCATAGGCTTCAGATCATTCACACAACTCGATATAAAGAAGTCGAACAAAATTAATTACCTTCATATTGGTACACACACTTCTGGATCGCCGCCTCCGAAGCATATTTCGGTGTTCTAGCTAAGATATTTTTTGTTTGATGTGTTTTGTTGTAAATACATTAGTTTGAAATTAATATGTTAGAAGTTGCATCGTTGTATTTCAGGTGAGCAATAAAGAAGTCGCGATATTTTTCCATAATACCCTATTTTTTCCCTATATTTTGCCTATGTGATGGTGTTCCGTCTTTACACGACAAAGCGTTAGAACAATTAGAAAAGATTCGAAAATGCATTTTTATGTTTTTGAGGAATATAAAACGCGGCGAATGGAAAAATTAAGGAAAACACAAACATTTTAAAACAAAAGAAATCAGTAGCAAGTCGCATTCTTTTTCGTTAATCAGTAACAGTTTGCGACACAGTTTTCAAAAGAATTATAAATATTATCGTTATCAAGTATTATTTGTTTTTTCTTATTCGCAGGTAAAGTACCTGGTTTGCTCAAGTCGTGTCGTTATTCAGAAGCGTTGGAAACTCTTGGAAAAATTAACCTTGACGACACCGACACGTGGAGGAAGATTTATTTGCTTTTAATGCGACTCGTCTGTCAGATAGAACTGGAAAATAATCACAGTGCTACTAAGACGCTGCTGAGTATTGTTAACAGCACTAAAAGTACGCAAGTAACGGGAGCAGAGCTGGATAGATGTGTAGACACATATCTATTGGACGGCGATATTATACCTGCATTCGCACTTTCCTATACAGCGTGTGAATTATATAAATCAGCATCGAGTCCCACTGAAATTGAAAAATGTGTCACGAAATTGGCTGAGGCTATCGTCAAACCAAAACCGCCGTCTAAATCCAGAGGCATTGACATCAAGAAAATACGTAAATTTGTCAAAAGTCATCTAGTCCCTGCGTTGCTCGAGGTATCAAACGACCTGTTTACTATGGAATGTATAGGAAACGACGAACGCACAGAATTATTCGGGAGTTGTGTATATAAAATTTCTCAAGTTCTCTATGAACTTCGACAATATGAAAGGGCAATTTCAATTTAAAAAAAATCGATCAAGGCCCTAAAGTCATGTCAAACGTCGGTGGTACTTGGTGATAGCATCATGTTACTTGGCTCTATCTTACAAACGAAATGTGGTACTTCGGAGGCCCTTGTTCAGTATTACGAAGCTAGAAGTGCTTTTAAAAGCATGAACCAATCTAATGGATCCGGCGATTCGGAAAATCTCACCAAAGTTGAAAATGCCATATATTACTGCGAATGGTATCCATGGCTTAAGTATATAATTCTTTTTGCGTGTACAGTTGCCATTGGTATATATGGCAACATATTTATGGCTATATTTCTAGCTTGGGGTTTGGTCATATACTTGACAGGTTATGCAATAGCACGTGAAGAATACGGAAGTTTATTTACTTTTGTATCAAAACCCCGTGACAAATACCTTTGAAATATGATTTATTTCTCACTATATAATTTGACAAAATTTCAAAACATTTGTCGTCATATTTAAATTAATTTGTCTGAGATTTGCAAAAGTATACAAAAAGCGAAAAGTAATATATATATATGATGCGATTTTTCGTATTGGCAATGGGCTGAATATGATATTATAACGGACTCAACGAAAACGCTTTGTGCCCGTGTGTAACTTTACTTAGAATTATGTATAAACTAAATAATTTTTTTTGTAGCTGTATTGTGTCTGATATATATTCATTCTTTGAAGGAATAAATTGTTATCAGAATTTTCTCGAGATGCTTGAAGCCAGACAGGGATACCCTGCATTCGAGTGAGCTTAGCATTAAAGGAAAAAATTCCAATACTTGTTATACCAGAATTTCAACCAATATATTTCGGTTTGGATAGAATTGTAAAAGTAAAATCACCATTCTTGCGAAAGCTAACAGCTGTTGGGTATAGAGAAAATATTCAATATATTTATTAAATCGTTCAGCGAAAATTGATATTGAAATAAATGAAAAAATCGTTTAAAAGCTTCCGTCAAATTATTAACAAAACACGACGTAAATTTCAGTACTCCCAAGGTATTCGTACCAGACCCTAATTTTATTCTAATTTTTTCTTATTTTAATTCTATTACGAGTTCAAGGACTGTCAGTGTTGGCCAAGTTAATATATCCTTGCCCATAGATTTCAGTCCCTTTAGGCGAACAAAATTAGTTACCTCCATATTGGTACACACACTTCAGGAGTACACAGTAGCTCATACAGAATATTATTGAGCCAAAGAGGGCATTCTAGTATGAAGAATATGATGTCACTAACAAATACTTTTTGATCTGCAGGTATTATTCACTATAAGGAAATAAAGATAAACAACTAAGTGCAGGTAGATGGTTTACACCACTCGCGCGCTTTTCGTTTTGCTTTTGTAACTCAGTAAATAAAATCCTGTTCTTGAAATGTAACTTTTTACGCCACACTTACATTCCCCGCCAGTCTACGTGAGCCCTAACCTCATAAATTTTGAAATATTTATTTCATCAGAATACCTCCGCATATATAGAAAACACAAAAGAATACTATAATAGAATAAAATAAACACTGGTACCTAATCAAATAAATGTGATCAAAATTGTATTTCTTCCATTTTTCTTTCGTAGAATTTTTGTTCCATTTGAATTATTGAGCAGCAGATATATATTATATCGCATACGGCAGCAGATTGACAAGGTATTGCACCAAGCGTACAATATAAGTAAATTAGAATATTGAAGTCAAAATGACACAAATTACAAATAGCAAGGCCTGGTGATCACACCTTTTTGTGGGTATTCATGTAGTATGTGAACCAAGATGGCGGACACCGGAACGTAGTATGTGTACTAGGTTAGGGTTAGGCCATAATTTTATGTACAAATACTGCGGGAGTCACTTTGCTAGTCCCCGAACTCGTAATAGAACTAAAATAAGGAAAATTGGAATAAAATTATGTACTAACCCTAACCTGGTACACATACTACGTTCCTGTGTACGATATCTTGGTTCACATACTACGGGAGCGCTATTTTGTGTAACCAGGTTCAACTATTGCTAAGTTATGGAAAAGTATACATAATGTACGATGCCTAAACTAAACTTCCCGCAACATACCTTCTCATCGTGGAAATATATGCGAATTTAAAATATGGTATTTTTGTAGTATTAGCAATAATACGACGATGGCTCAGTGATCATGCTTCTTCTGCGTTACGTAGTTTTAACATTGCCAAGATATGAAAAAATGCGTAATGTTCTATATTTGAAATACAATTCACGCAAGAATATTTGCTCATCTTAGAAGCGTATATAGGAATTCAGAATATAATATGTTTGTAGGATTAGCAATAGCATAACGACTCTAATTTTATTATGACATACATAAATGCCTTAAATCGGAAAATAATACGATTTGACCTTCACTACCTGAAAGACATTAATCGCTACATTTTATTATCATTTCTCCCAAGTTGTTTAATAACCATAACGTATTCTCTAACCAAAGGAATGATAAAATAATTGTCACTCTCGTAGTATGTAAACCAAGATGGCGGGCACCGGAACAAAGTGTGTGTACCAGGTTAAGGTTAGGCCATAATTTTATTCCAATTTTCCTTATTTTAGTTATATCACGAGTTCGGGGACTAGCCAAGTGGCTCCGTAGTATTTGTACCTGTATTTATGGCCTAATCCTAACCTGGTACACATACTACGTTCAGGTGTCCGTCATCTTGGTTCACATACTCTGAGAGTACCGAATAATTTTCTACCGATTTTACTCAAAACATCAAATCAAAAATGAAACTTTTCGCAATAAATAGAAAATATCCACCTTTTTTATAATATTATATTTTAACACTAGTTCATCATTTCGTTATGGATGACTGGGTTTGGTATGACAACAGGTTCCCCTTCACTGCGTAAATGTGTTTTTGTGTCACGTGATCTTCGACGACAATTTATATAAACTGCAACAACAACTCCGAGAAGAATGAGAGCGATTACTAAAACAACTCCAACTGCTATTAATATTGTTGTCTTCGAGTCTGTACCTATGAAATAAGAAAGTTACAAAACTATAAGTGATACTATAACATATAAAATGGTTTGAGCCAAGTTTATTTCACCAATCAGTAAAATATCAATCATGGACAAAAATTGAGAAAATAACTGGGGGAAGGGAAGACGCGAAGCACCAAAGCTGATCATTGAACAGTGACAGCCAAGGTTCTAATATCTAATTGGAAATATTGGGAATCAGGCTTCGCCATAATGTAATAAGTTATTATCGCGAGTTTATAGGTTGTTATTATATATATAGAGATTTAAACCGCAACATCCACCTAATTTAAAAAGATTTAAATGGAATTTCTACTTGCTAAATTGTCGACAAACTGGTACACAGACAGTCCTCGAACTTGTAATAAAAACTGAAATAAGCAATCGAATAAAATTATGGCCTAACCCAAACCTGATACACATACTCTTTAAAATATGGATGTGATTCAAACCTATTTCACCCATTAGTTACACCTTGGAGATAGTGGTTGGCCACTAAAATAAAATCAAGCACACCTTGGCAATTGATGAAGTATATCATCAAAATGAGGGGTAAGCAAAATTTATCAACTTTTCTACAACGAAACTTACGTTCATTGTCACGTTTCCTGTCTTCCGGGTTTACGTAAATTTTTTCGTTTCCAAAACTGATGACGTTGTTTTCCAATTCATTATCGTCCCATCCCGCTTCCTTGACATAAACCGGTCCAAATGTGATTCGCGTTCCGTCTTCGTCCATAGAAAGAGATCTGGCAAATCTGTGAGGCAAAAACCATAAAAGTTTGTAAATCTATAAATAAATGATCTCTAACTAAGATTGCGGTGTGACTACACTAAAAGTTTGGGCTTATACTGCAGAAAAGCATAATAGTTATTTTAGAACTATTACAGAGCCTTCCAGTTCGTCATGCGAGCGAAAGCAGCATTTTGCACAGTTACTGTATAATGCAGTCCAGGTGTTTTACATGAAAGTGCACTCAGTTACCCAGTCACTAAACTTCATAAGTTAGAATCGAACATTTCGTTCTATTTTCAGCTATACTAAAACCCACATTAGGAGGTTGTCAGTTGAGATTTCAATTGATTGTGAGTGTGAGCGAAAAGAAATAATGGATTGTAAAGATAGGCTGCAACAGTATATGATGTCCTAACTGTGGTATGATTTGTACTAAAAAAAAAATTGAGCGTGCACCGCATGAAAGCGAAGTCAAATTTTCTAAAACTATTATAGATTGCCTGGCAGTTCGCAATCTGAAAGAAAGAGCCTATACACCAACCGTTTGGTATCTTGCGCAGGGACTGTATAAGTCAGTCAATGTGTTTTACACGAAAGTACACCCAGTTAGATAGTCACTAAACTTCATAATTTAGAATCGACGACTTCGCTCTATTTTTAGCTTTACTATACCCAGGCGGTAAGAGACAAACAGACAAAAATTAAGTACCTCACAGACCTTAAAATCATTTTTATTCATCACTAATTAATTTATGGCGAGAAGCAGGATGACCGCCAGTGTTAGCGTAATGAAATAGGGAATAATGGTAGAAATCAGGTTTTAGACAATATTTGATTTCGCTTCTCTTCATGGATCTACTGAGCTGCTAGATAGACAGCAATCAAGCCGACGACAGAGATGCGTATTGTCAGTCAAGTACGCTGTTGTCGATTGAGACTGAAATTCAGCCACCCAGCGTTTTAAAATTTTACCTTCCAGTGACTCCGTTCTCACATGTGCAGTAATCAGGGTAAGCAGTTGCATTACAAACATTCACGATACAGTGCATGTAAATTTCCTCCATCGAGTCTTTCCACTTGAACATTTGAAAACAAAATCGAGCAAAATCCCCCTCCCCGTTGCTGAGAATGTCGGTAGTTGGATCGTCTTTACATCTGTGAATAATAGAATGTATTGCGTCAAAAAAGAGTAACATTTTGTTGAAATTACTATAAATATTGCTTGCTACGATGTCGGGTCGATTTCACACGTAACTAGCACACTTTTCCAGTCAGTTTAATTTTATTTAGGTAAAGAATAGTCATATTTGGTCTTGCTACGGCTTCCGAGCATTTTTCGCATACGGATCTACTTGACCAAAGTCAAGTCGGCTTGCTAAAAAATTGACACAAAGTCATAAGCATAGAGTAATAAAAGTTATAGTCTTGCATAACCCAACTGATAGTAGTTTAGGTTTACTTGTGCAATGTGCCAAACAATTCAGGGACCTCCTGAAATATGCGCACCAAGATGGCGCACAACCTGAAGTCAGGTTGTGTACCAGGTTAGGGTTCAGTTTGTGCGACATCTTGGTGCGCATTCTTCAGGAGCACCCAATTCAGTAATATAAAATTGATTGATTCTATGTAGGAGCAAAAGTGTTATATTGTGTGGTTATTGATCGTGTAAACTGAAGCAAAAATAAGTCTTACTTTTCAGAGACCAAGTAATGTGCATCTCCCGATCCATCACGTTTGGTTGAAGCCCAACATTCTTTATTTGTCAAAACTAGGTCTTGCGGCATCACGTTCTGTAGTTCTGTAGCTGCAAACCGAGTATATTTTATCCAGTCAGTAAACATCAATAATACACAAATCACAGAAAACAGAATGTAGTTCTTTACTGGGGAAAAGAAACCTCGTGAACCAAAGATTGTTGTCGAGCAGTGGCACCCGATGTTTCAATATCCAATTGAAAGTTAAATGATAGGGAACGAGTATGGTGAGTTTACCAACTAACTTCGCTCTTTAGATATTATATTACATAGTTATCAGTCCACCGGGCAATCAATGCTGGAAAGTTGTTAGAAATGATAAACTAATAATACGATACACCATTACATACAACAATGAAATATTTAACCAAAAATTAGGAATTTTAAGAGTCAATCGAGCTTTTGTTAATGAAGATATAATCAATTTTCTGATGCTGGTTAGGTTCATCGTCCGCTCCCGAGTATGTACATATGTCTACTTAGAATAAGATTGCTGCATTCTTTGAATATTAGGTATCGTAAGCAACCGGCTGATAAACTTTGTCAAAATTGTATAAAACAACTTTAAAGAGCACTTCCACATTGAATAATTTAAAATTTAACTCACACACACAAACTTGGTCTTCAATTGCTACCACTGGCCTAGCGCCATATCTATCTTCTTCGGCGAAACTAGAAGATTTATATAAGTTCATATCCACTCTGAAGGTCCCATAACTTGTCTCGAAATCCACAGTGCTATAAAAATATGAAAGCAGAAATGTTAAAATAATGAATTAGAAAACTATGGAAAGAGATATATTTAAAAGACTTACGTTACATAAGGTGTTATTTCTCCAAACGAAACAATATATTTGTCCTGGTATGTACATTTAAAATCGAGCAACACTAGAGGTCGCTCAATAGTTTCGCCAAGCTGATTCCAAACCACTTGTTGCTGGAAGACATAGTCATCGCCTGTATGCTGTGTTTAAAATGATATTTTATGTGAAATAAACTGTCTGGATTGTAATTTTATTTGAGACATATTCAAGAAAAGGCCAATCCTTTGCCCCAAAGCATACAAATGTAAATTTCCGTGAGCGAATTTATGTGACACTCACGAAGTACCAAGCTTCATGAAAACAGGCGTAAAATAAGCAGACACGTCCAAGAAGTACCAAGTATCATTATATTCAAGTCTACCGTCCATGTAGAAAAATAAGTTTATTTGGGAAATAAAAACAATTGATACACATCAAGTCCGATTATCAACGCATAGACTAAATTATCTTCAAAACTATTAGGCGAATGAACACGTACCACTTAGTTTTGGAAAAATCTTCCAACCCATTTTCTGTACGCTATATTTTTGTTTGCTCTTCTGATTCTATAGTCAGTTTTTATTTGTTTGTTTTACAACTACTTTATCGTCTGTTGCTGATTGCGAAATCAAAATAAACTTATACTTATATACTTTGAAAACTAAGGAATACTGAATTTATACAATCAAAACAAGTTTTTCATTGATACAATATTGCTAATACAACCCAAAATTAATCAACAAAAGTCTTTGGTCACATAAATGCATGAAAATCTGTTTAAAAAAGTATAGAAAGTCGAAACGTTCGCCTATGTTTCCATTTATATCTCAATGTCACCTTATTGTCATAGTAACAGAAATAATCAGAAAACAGAAGTTTGCGCTTGTGTTTAGTAATAGTTGTAATAGTAGTGATAGTTTATTTTTAAAATATATTTACCGTGATCTCCACACCACATTCCTTGAAAGGTGCATTAATCTTGAGATAGTATCCTCCAGATGTGCTCACAGCTTTACATTCGGGCGCATTCAAAAAATGGATGAAGTCAGGTGAACTCGAAAGTCCTTGTTCCGTAACAATACGCTCATCGATGAAAATGTCGATGGTTTTATTTCTGCATAATACTTCTGGTTGCGCTGTAAGATTTTTATGAGAAAGATGAAATTTCAGTGATTTCAGTCAATAACCTGATACTTATAGAATATCGAATCAAAAGGAAGTGTTCAATTTTCATTTCTAGCAACACACGGGTAGCAAAACGGCTAGGTAATTACTGAGAAGTAAGAGTTAAATAAACCTGAGTGCAGTGCGAAATTGACATTATACTTGCGCACCCCAATTGTGAATCATATTCGTTCGCTCATTCACCAAAAACGAAAAAACTCAATGATATCATTGTGAAGGTATTCTTAAATTGAACATGACTCTATATAATCCTCCACATATTCTAAGATTTAGACCACAAATACGTTTTCAGAACATCTGCTCAAGACAAACGTATAATTACAACATTCCAATAGCTAAACGTCAGAGCAGCCTAAAAGTTTCATTCATTAAAATATCTCAGGTTTTCCGATGCCAAAGTAACCCATGATAATGACCCTAACCAGTGGTGGCAATCAGGAAGTACGTGAGAATCCGTTCTTGGAATGTAGCAATCCCAGCGATCTCGTTCTTGTATTTTTGTTTTAACTTAGCCTAGTTTTCTGAAATGAAGGAATCTCTTGTTAGGGAGTTCGATGCAAACAGAACCTGTTTTTAAAATTACGAATTCCACAACGGACGATGTACAGTAGTAATTGAAGAGACCTTGTGCGTACCATCATAATATTACTTCACACTAGGGGCGTAGCCAGAAATTTTCAGGAGGGGGGGGAGGTCTAAGAAAAATTATAATTACCAAGTTAGACCGAAATAGATAGCGGGACCGACTGAAAGCCGGAAAACGTGGGTTTCAAGAGTCTTCATTATTTATTTTTTTTACATTTTAAAAGGAATCCCCCCTCCGTGGCTACGCCCTGCTACTCACAGTTGCCTCATTTTTTGTGTTTTGAGATGTTAACCTTATAAAAAGTCTCAAAAAGACAAACTACTTAATACATACGTAAGTTACAGTGGATTCCGGTCCAGTTATCATCACAAATGCATTTAGTTGAACTTCCGTCGTCCGTGTCTGTAGTGCATCGCCCATAGACGCAGGGGTTTGGGTCGCAGCCTAAAATTTACAAAGTTATTTTGGGTGGGTTCTGTTTGTGTTCGAAGGCAACTATAAAATTACTCGAAAATACTTACCAAACGAAGACTTTAAGAGAAGAAAAGTAAAAATAATAAATCTAAACATATCTGTTTTAAATCTGTATAGAAGAAAAGCAGAAGTTAATAACCGTTTTTCGTTTCGGTATTTTATTTTATACGCGGATTCTGAATTCAAAATCATTTCCCGTATTTGGAAAGCAAAATCTCACAAATTTTTTTTCTATTTATGGTTGGTTCGTTCATTGTTAAAATTTGAAAATGCATACAATTAACCTCTAAAAATGTCTAAAGACTCAAAAACAGGGAAGCCAGTGAAACAATTTTTTTTTTAAAATTTGATTCTATATTAAAATTCTATTGATGAAGCAGTGTTCAGAGTTTTTGTATTTGACGATCTATAGGCGTAGCAGAGATATAAATTCTTAGGTGTTTCAATGTATTCTTGAACGATTTACTGAAAACAGACTTTCTCTGGCTTGTTAGTCTGTATTGTTGGGTGTCAGCGGCTGCTTCTATCTAACCTTGTTCAGTGAAAAGGGCACGAGTCAGCGTCGTATTCCGACATCATACAAACCACCCCAATATTCAAAATTTTGGCTGGCTCCGTTTTGTGACGGAGCCGTCTACTGCTACATTACCTATCGTCCGGACTACCGGAGTGAAAAAGTTCCTCTTGCCTCCTAGTGAATATTAATCCTTTTTATATTGATACACAGCGCTTAAGTGAAACTTAATTCTCAACCTGTGATTCTCGATGGTTTTTGCCCTAATGCAAAGCGCAAATGCATACCTTTACTTCAATACAATAATTGGATACTACATTGTATACATAAGCCGTTAAATGCGCGTAATCTTTCCGAAATATTATAATATTCTCGTATGACGGTAACAATTACAATATTAAATTTTTTCGTCAGAAAATTACCTTCTAATTATATATATATATATAATTTAATGGTAGCCTATCAAGTCAATGAATTTACTACTACTTTGGGCGTTGGAAACACTCGCAACTGCTTCCAAGACTATAGTCTTGATAAAATATCAGTCAATATTTGCAAAATATGGTTTTAAATAGACAACTTCATCAACAGCGATGCTTTCAAAAAGCTGATGTTATCGTGTGAAGCTGAGCTAATTGATTCGCTAACCACAGTTACAATACCGGTAATCATGTCCTTTAAGAATTGCTCATTCACTAAACCCAGGGGGTTTCCCTTTTGAAAAGTAAAATGAAGCATTTTTCAATATAAAACATAGAAAATCACAAAACTCTTGAAACCACGGACCTGATGATAGATAATAGAAATATCGACTCAATTCTACGTTCTATACATTTACTATGCATGATCCCAAAGATTTCAAACAAAGGCCTGAAAGAACCAAGAAATATGAATAAAGCAACTACACCTAAATCCAATGCTATAAATTTTGGACAACACTAACGTAACGGGAACCGTTTCATCTACGAGTATAGCAAGTTGCTGTATGCACGCACTATGTAATATTTATATTTGCCCCGGAAATGCCACGAAATGTGTAGTTGATATTTGAGCCATAAATTAAACATAAGAAACAATTTTCAAATTACGATTCGACGTGGAAATTGTCTCATTTATGTCCTTTCCTAGAGCTGTTAAGATACCTGACGTGTTTACGCGTACATCGGTCTTTAATGTATCCCATAGTAGGCTTTCTAAACGAGTCATATAATATACTGTATCAAATAAATCGTTCAGTTGCTTCCGCGTAAGACGGTTTATAATCTGGCGATTAAAAATAACACATTGTAGCTATATGATTGTTTTTATATTGACAGAGTAGCGGACATACAAACTCAGTGAACAGTAGAAACAGGTTTCGATACCAAATATCAAAATTTGCAAACACTATATATGACATTCTAATGATATTATTTTCGAATTCCTTCTATTATGATTGAAATAAACGGTGACCGTACATTTGAACCCCCGTACATTTGAACCCATGTGTATATCCGCGGGTCCAATCTATATGCGGGTGCTAAAATCCATGGGTTAGGGTTAGTATGGGTTCAAATATCCTAAAACAAAAAAAAATTTTCATATAGGTGCAATAGTATGCAGGTGCAATTGTCGTGGGTTCAGATGTGCGTGGTTCAAATGTACGTGGGTTCAAATGTACACGGGTTCAAATGTAATGGAACCAAATAAACAAGAGAGTGGTCGTGGTCGTGTCGCTTGGCCGATTGAAGCCGTGTACCCATGAAAAATAAAAATATAGCAAAATTTTAGATGAAATGTCAGATCTCTTATAGAATTCATAGAAAATTTAAAAATAAAAAAAGGATAGCATTAGTTTTAAAGCAATTGGGCCACTAGTCAATGAGAAAAGTGATTTTTTTTCATAAGGTTTTAAGAAGAAGAACAACAACAACATAACAACAAAATTATACATAGTTCATTTCGTGCTCAAATGAAACTTAACAAGCTATCCTAGTAACAAATTCTGTCCTATTTGTGTTGGAGGCCACATGAAGTTGACGCTAAATGTGTGAGTATCAAGATCAGAGCCTGAATCACTGTGATTGACATACAAACTGAAAATAATTAAATTCGGAAGCTTAATATTCAGTGATGCTAGCTCGCGACAAAAAAATATTGATCAAATTGGCACCCGACGGTTCTATTCCCGTCGTATTCTCGGATGCTCAAAGTGGTTACCTATCTTTATCTACAGAAAATCTGACACGAGGACATTCAAGTTATTCCATATTTATAACGACCCCACAACTAGCTCGGGCAGATAGTTGTCGATATTATCCCGGGTGTTCCAGAGTTTAAATACACAAATTTATTCCGCTACTTTCCGTATTGATATATAATCCAAAGCTAAACACCAATTTCCTATGCCATTCGTGTCTCCTAATAAAATCACCTGACTGTGGACGTGGTATTGCATGTTTATAAGAACAATAAAGAATTTTGCAGCAATAAAGATTTCTTTATTGCTCTTTTACGACGTCCTAATCAATCAATATTTGTTACTTGCTACACAATACAGTGATTTATTTCGCGACACACGGTATACGAATTCAGTGTCTGCTATAAAAATTCTTAAGATGTTTTCCAGTCCTGTTTAGGCTCGCGTGTGCATGTAAACCACGGTTCGGCAACCTTTTGTCGTTCACGGGCCAAAATTGAGGTTGATGGGTCGCACATATATTTTCAGAAAGTTGAAAACCGAACGGATGATACTTTTTATAATAAAATTCAAGCAGTGATACATCTCATAGAACATAGATTCATTTCCTCATTGCATTCCATTTCGAAAAATTCCATTGGAATATTTTCGGCGCCTTTGCACTTAGCATCAACTTTTCTGCGTTTTGTTGCCCTTTGTTTAATTAAAATTTAAGTACAGGACCATTAAACGAGTAATTGTGAATTTTATACTTGTTAGATTACAATATAATTTCGTCTACACGTGTCTCACAATAAATTCTGTTACCTAAAGAACATTATCGTAGGTTACCGACCCCTGCTGTAAACGATACTACGGTTTCGCATCGACTAATCCAACTTTCCCCAAACGGGAAAGAATTCCCTCCCAATTTCCAGGGAGGGATTTTGTCGTTCTTGGGAAGGCATTTGGCTTTGTATATACTGTAGTATAACTAACATCCCTCATGTTTTTATTATTTGTAAAATACTTAGTTATGCACACATTAAAAACTACTTCAACTGCACAAAATCAGGAGTGCGACATGTGCATAATACTAACTAAGAAACTACTAAAGGGTGGGAACCACTGGACTAATCACAGAACTTACGATTTCGTTTTCAATACAAACCGATATGATATATCCTCGCCAAACGGAAAGATATATTACATTATATCGTATGTCAAAATCTATATTATTATGTTGCTTCATTATCAAATACTGATAGCGCCATTTGATCTGTAATACAATTAATAGATACTGCGGTATCGCACCGACAAATCACAGAATCGAGATTTTGTTTTCTGCGCAATATAAACCGGCTATGACGTAACAGACTTCGACAAACTGAAAATATAGTATCTTCGGTATGCGATCTCGAACATAAAACTCCACTGGTACGTGAAACACTTGCTTAATTGATTTCCTGACCACTAATTGTGGTGCATGTGTGATGCTCATATAGAATTCAGTTTCTATCCCTATCATCGTTGGGTTTGGGTTAGTTTAATACTAAATCACCGAGATCACAGAAATGCTGAAATCGCATTCCGAAGTGGCATCGTGAATTGTGTATGGTGTCCACAAATTCTTGGAAAATTAAAATTGCAAAGGGAATTTATCGATACCCTAATATTGTTTTGGCCCTCACAGGTGTATTGGATGAAGTGAAAATACTTAAATAATTACTGATTGAAAAAACAACAAACACGGTTTAAATATATATATATTAATTAAGAACTGACTTCATAACAAAATTGAAATTGTAAAGGGACTTTACGGACACCCTGTATTTCTTAACTTAAGCTATATTATTATACTACTTGATTGAATGCTGGTAGCGCCATAAGCTATGTAATACAATTAATGGAACGTCTCTAATCTGAAATGTTATTAACACTGCACAATACGCCTTGTCCTCTTTTGCTTCAAAAACCTATGGGCATAATTATTCAAAATCAAACGTAAGAAAAATTGAACTTCCACACGCAAGAAAACTTTATGATGAAATAGGTGGATGCGACGTCGATAGCAAAATTAAGTCATAAACAATATTTATTCCTGATAATAAGCTTTCTTAACCTTTCTATAGTATATATATGTATTGAATATAAGCTTTGAGATATATATTGCGTTACACTCTATTACGAAACTCGCGTATTTAGGATTCTAATGGAGAGTCATTGCACTGACAGATTTTACAAAATGTGTCATATAAAAAATGAGTTTATTGGTAAAAACATAAATATCGTGTGGTGAGACAGTAAAGTTGGTAGTGTAGTGTGTGTACCAGGATAGGATTAGGCCATAATTTTATTTCGATTTTCCTTATTTTGGATATTACGAGTACGAGGACTGTTTGTGTTAGCCAAGTGAATATAGTTACCTCCATAGGCATATTGGTACACATACTTTTGAAGCGCCGAAAATTGGAGAATACGCCTCTGATTGAAAGTGGTAAAACGGAATACGAAAACTAGGTCTATAAACTATCTTTTCGATATAGATATGTAAAGTATATTACATATATATATATATATATCGCGTAAAATTATACTGTGAGACTTATGTCACTAACTAACAATATCTCTAACAATACAATACTCTAACGATATCTTGGAGAATCTCTCTACAGAATTACTTCTTTGTCGAAGTTATCCAAGATAAACATTGTACATGTATATCGACTGGAATCTACTAACCAAATCAGCCGCTATATACATATCAACACACTTTACGTACAAACAACTTGTTCGTCAACTTGATAAGCTCCTTACGGTAAACGTTATTGTCAGCCTGCTACTGCCTATAGGCTTATGACGACTCTTCCCTTTTTGTACAAATACACCCCCGGGCTATACGTAACTCGCGATATGAAAAATGACGTGATTAGTCAAAGAAAATCTGGAATATTACTGGGATTATCAAGTTATCTGGCACAGGAACTGTGTTACTGGCGATTTGTGACTGCAAGCTCGTAGAGATCCCAAAATTATTGGGGGCAAATGTTTTATTGTATAATAACGTCATACGACGCTTAATCGTGCCTTTTGCTCCGAACAAGGCTAGATAAAGGCAGCCACAGATATCTAACAATATCTTAAAGCAGGGATCACCAATCTTTTCGAAGCCAAGAGCTACTTCTTTGGTACAGATTAAGCTGCGGGCTACCAGTTCAATGTACACTTCTAAAAAAGTCAGTTGCTTGATTAAGCTTCAATTATTGATATAATTAATGCCCTGGTATTTAGTGAAGTATATACACTAATAAGTTTTAGGATTCTTCAAGAAATCAAACGCATATCACAACGTTACAAATAAATTTCTATCAATAACACTTGTATTTCAAAACTGAGTGTTTTTAAATTGATTTTCAACAATCTGCACAAGTCTAAGGTAAAATGGACTTAACAGTTGTACTATCAAATGTTGCAGAGTATTATACTCCGACGTTTAACTTGACACTGTAGCTCTGAGCGAGTCTTGCAGATTTTCATCAGTGAGACGTGTTCCATGTTGTTCCTGGTGGAGTGAGTCGCGGCGCTATGGCCCATCGTGTCAAGCGTTAGGTTCGCAGGTTCGAATCCCATGCGGGGATAGTTATGTGCGAAAGGATTGCTGGACTCCTCGCCGCCGTAGGGTGGTTCACGTAACCGCTGGTCGGTTGATGCTTCCTTCGCCATCAAGTTCATGCTTCCGGAAACAAATAACTAACTAATCCCATACCCGACATCGAATGGTAACCGGCGAGAAGCCGTGGTTTGTCATATGGTTAAGCCGTTCTATCGGCTATCTTCTCCCCCGGAATAAATATGTAAATCTCCTCCTATCCTGAGTTTATGTCAAAAATGTTGATTCGAAAGGATAGGTTGAAACAAACGATGGTCTCGTAAAATAGGATTGCTGTATGATTTCACTCGCGAGCTTTTTCTGTTCGTACTGTGCTGACCAGTGGGTAGTTAGCGCGGAAGATTTCGTGACAAGATGTGAAATATCTCTCCGCTTTGCCGTCGCTAAAATCGCCCCACTAATGAGACACACGCAGGCTGTTTTCATGGTGGTAAAAATATATCCACCTCCCATTCATCTTGGAAATGATGGATTTTTCTTTGGAACCAATAATTGTATACTGCCCCGCTAACCAACGGACAAGAAAATGCGCGGGTTCGTGGAAAGTGATGTCATAATTGGAAGTGTTGATTGACCCGTCACATTACTGAGGTCAAATACAAATAAGGTTGATGTTTATAATAATTATTATAGTGTCATTTCTAGTTCCCGTATAAGTGTGATTTATACTAAAATAGCAGGACAACATTTAATTGATGTAGCTTACTTATAAGAGCCGTTCGCGGTATCCGCCTCGTTAACTCTAGAGGCATTCCCCCCGCGATCAAGGACAGGATTCTGACCTGTATTTGGCTATTCATCAAGTATCCTATCTCAAATGATTTGGCTATTTTCGCTGCCAAATTTTATATTGACATTTTGTATACATGCCAACTATGAAGAAATATTTCAATCGGTTACTAGTGAATTTCTAATGTGTAAAATACGTAAGACCACATAATATTGGCACAAAATCCAGAGAACTCATTTTCACACGACACAGATAAACACAAAACGAATAAAAACGAGTGCTCAAGTAAAACCTGAAGATATTATTTTATTTTTAAAGAAATTGCTTCGATAAAATTTTACGCAAAAAATGGAATTTTTGTATGTACATAAATTAAATGGTATACGAACAATCCAAATTGGACAAGCCAGACTATATGAATTCTTGCAATTCAGATGTTGTTCTGGTTCGAAAGTTCATCAATTCGTACGCCTGAAAAATGTCCTGAAAATAATAACAGTAATTCGATATTCAAAACATTAGAACTTTAAATGTTGAATTAGATACTTGAACTTTGGGTGTCGCTGCAGGATAACCAGTTTTGTTTCCCGGCAGCTCCCTTCCTCAATGAAATTTGTATTTCTTTTAAATTTGCATTTGCAAATAAACTTGACTATGAAATTTGACATGAATTAGATCGAGACACATTAAAAATTTGATTTAAAATTAGTTTTGGACATACCACTAACAATAATTCCTCCTGAAGACAATAAACTTAACTCAAAAAACAAAACTTCTTTTTATTTAAAATTACTAAAATAATCAAATTTACAACAGAAATCCCTCCACCACATTGAGATGACAGCTCTACATAGAAAGACAACAGTTCAAAAATACCAGCTAAAGTAGACAGACATCCACTATTCAAAAGGCCTAGCATAAAATATCGATTGTAAACAATGCCAAAATGAAATGAATTCAAAATGAAACCGAGACCTCACAATTAGAAAGATATAAAATTCGAATTATTCACTCTCCTTTTCATGCCATTAAAATTGAATTCATCGCATGTTCCCAGCATCTTACTTAAATGACATCTAAATTCACAAAGTGTCATGAAGAACTGTGGCTTAGTTCAATAACATCATGCAAAAATTGAAGGATAATATACAATTTCTCAATATGGTATAAAGTAGTTAAGTCAAAAGTGTACCTGCTTATAGAAATTTACTTAGAATAAATAGCAAAATCATTCAAAAACGAAAATTTTATATTTTAATTACACACTAAAAATTATTTTTGGAATATGAAATATTGGATATACAGCTTTACCTCGATATTCAAATATGATTCGGTCAGGATTGGTGTAAGAGTATCGATTCGTTCGACTACCGAGGTATCACTTGACATTCTAAATTGTGTCACGATTAACAGCGGGCACTTAAACGTCAATGCATATCTAATGTTTTCTTTTAAGAAACGCAGGAAAATTGCAGATAAACTGTAATTGGTTTACCAATATAAATGAAGCTCAGCCATATTATTGAAAACCAAGAGTTTGCTATACTTCTTGAAATACGTAAATTTGTTATATTGCCAAAGAAACTAAAAACAAAAAAACTTGATACACACAAGGCTCATCAACATCAATCACCCATCTTTTTGTAAATTCCCCTTTTTAAAAGTTTGGCAAAGCGATATCAAACGTCACGTATCAGTTAAATTCAAGACTGAGTTTGGATATGGCAGGGGTTGTGCAACATTTTTTGTCAGTGGCCCATATAACCAACTTCAGACATTTAGCTGGGTCACACATAAATAGTTTTTTATGTACACAAGTGAATCAAACCAGATTAGCAACAACTAGAGCGCCATGGGAAAGGCACGAGAAATATCGCTTAGCTCCCCAATAATAAGGGTAATGGACAGGAAAAACGGCAAAAGGTTTAAAGCAGCGACAAAAGCAAAATACATTATGTATTTTTTACCCATGTGAACGCCTTTTCAAATATAAAGAGTCGAATTAGGATTTTATGCTTGATGGGGAAAATCTGAGTGTTGAAATGGGCCACATTAATGGCTTGGCGGGTCCGATTGTGGCCGACTGTTGCACATCCTTGGTATATGGCATACCAGATACCAAGTAATAACGTATCTTATAAAGTATTCTCGTTCTTGAGTCCTCCCTCTAAAAATTGCGAAACCGCTTGTTGTCACGCTCTTCAAAATTTGACCCGTCTCTCAAATCTTGACTGTGAAGACGACAGGTCTAGTAGATGTTCCAGTGCTTCCTCCTTTGAATAATGCTTGTTGCAGAACGCCACTGTGTAATTCTGTTACTTCACCGGGCTCGGTGTTCTTCCTGCTGCTCTTGATCTCTTTCATCCAACTGTGTAGGAAATTTCAGAATATCTTTGTTTAACATACAGGGTGTTGGATTTTGAATATTTATGCCCAATGTTCCCTCTAATTTTTTGTAGTATGTGTGCGCAGAAATTTTGGTGTGCGCACTTTTTTGGAAATGACTAATATTTGTGCAAAAACCAATGAGGAAATTTTGGCATTCTAACCGGGTAATGGGTGGGCCAAAAAGAAACTTTCTCAACCTGCCAACCGAGAACATTGTTACATTACATCGAAATACGTCTGTGCGCAGTAAATCTATGCGTGTGCGCGGCCTCTGAAAGCTGTGTGCGCGCGCACACTTTAGAGGGAACACTGTTTATGCCCTTATGTTTTTGAAGCGAAAAGAGGACGGGAAAGACGCATTGTGCAATGTGGAATAACATTTCAGATTAGAGTCGTTCCATTAATTGAATTACATAGCATATCGTGCTACCAGTATTCAATAATGAAGCAGTATTATTATATATACAGCTTCTGAAATACAGGGTCACCATGAAGTCCCTTTACAATTTCAATTTTGTTATGAAGTCAGTTCTCATCATATCTTAACCAGGTTGGTTGTTTTTTAATCAATAATTGTTTAATTATTTTTACTTCATTCATTACAAACCTGAGGGCCAAAACAATATATGGTATCGATGAATTCCCTTTGCTCATTTAAGCCTTCATGGACACCCTATATTACAAAACTAAATCATGCTGCTCTAACAGAAATATGGTACCTATTAGGGTAGATATTGCGAGTTCATAGTGACCTCAATATCATTCAGGATTCAATGAATCATCCAGTGCTGAACTAAGCCATTAGAATCATAGTTGAATAGCCAGACAACCAACACAAACAAATTTCGCCAGGAAGGAAATTCTTCTTTGGTGTTGCAGCACAACCACATACCTACATATTTTTCAACTTGGTTCACTTAATTAATATATGAACATCAAACATTTTGTCATTAATTTGATATCAAACTTTTGGGATAGGATTTACATATTCATTCCGATGGAGAGGAAATCCGATAATAACATCTAATCATATGCCGCACAACAACCTTCCGTCTGGTTACCAGTCCATGGCGGATATGAGATTAGTTAGCCAGTTATTTGTTTCAGATGCATGAACGGTTCCATTACATTTGCACCCCTAATTTGAACTCACGACAATTGCACCTGCATATTATTGCACCTTTACGTATATTTGAACCCATAATAACACTAACTCATGGATTTTAGCACCCGCATATAGATTGAATCCGCGGATATACCAGTGCAAATGTATGGGTTCAAATGTACGTGGGTGCAAATGTACGGTCACCGCATGAACTTGATAGCAGAGAAAATGTAACCAACCAGTGCTTACATGAACCACCCTACAACAGCGAGGAGTCCAGCAAACCCCACATTATTTTCCCCATAGGATTCAAACCCACTAAGGGTAATCAGAGGTGCAGTGGTGAGTGTATTCCTAACGCTATTTAAGATGCGCCACACTACATTAGGCATTTAAAACATTACCATTGCATTCAAAAACTGAGCAAATGCTAACCCAAGACAATTTTGTGATGATTATAGTCATATTGACAAGGATACAAACTTGCAAGTTGCAAGCAACAGCAAAATAGTAAGATTCAACATCACTAGCTAGATCATGATAAACTACCAGAGAGATATTTACCTGTACATGACTGGCTGTCTTGGTGGATCATTTGTCATCAGTTTGATTTGCATTGGTTGACCTGAGAGAAATATGAATTAACAAAATAAGTCTTCCAACTCCAAGGAGCATTATAATTTATTGAGATATGCGAAATACTACTGTATTTTTGGTAATTTTATCAAGATTACCGCTATATGGAATACGTATTGAAAAAGAAGAGCGCTACTAAAAGTTATCAGCATCCCTGAAATTATATCTACAGAGTTTGATTGCAGATTGGCTTGTTATCAAAAACTTTCCATCATTCTATATTTTATTTATGAAAGCAACAATTTGTTGAAATAGATAAAAAAAAACTTTAGGATAAATACAGATTTTAATTGTCATACACTTTTATAAGAGGTTGTTTTTGATAGATTTTGCACATTTAAGCACATTTGATGTTTTTCAATGGCTACTGTGAGTTTCAGCGGATTTTGTGGTCGTTTTTGTCGATTGCTGCGCATTTTAGCATAGTTTTTGATCGTTATTAACCTTTTTTATCGAGCTTCTTTTGTGCACGTATTAGCTAATTTTATGAAATAGCATCATAACGAACAACAGACATAGGTAGTCATTGGGTTCATATAAAACTAACAAGTTGTTAGTTTATTTAATCCCATACAACTTAAAACTCATTTCACGATAGAAAGATAATTATTTCATATGTCAATAAATAAAATCCCATATCTGCTCAACCAACCATCTAAATCCCTGTTATTATATTTCTTGTAAGCAGTAAAAGCATTTTCATGTTTTATATAAACGACTTCTGCTTCTCCTGGCTTAACCAGCCTTGCTCGTCGAACGGCACCAAGGACGCTGAACAATTCCTACAAAACAGAAATAAAGTTGGATAAAAGAATTGAAACTAGCACCCGCTGAAAAAATAAAATTTCAGTTATTCAGCTAATTTTCCTGAAATTTTTAAAATATCGTATTTTACATACCATGGGCACACTTCAAAACCATTTCTCTCTCAAAAACCGATCATGTGCCTGCCTTATAGGCAAGTCACTCAATATATAGATCAAGTAGTTCTTTATGCTTTATTGCCTACACACCAAACCAGTATCGATATTGCTTCAAAAGCCATTGCATCTTATAGCCTTAATATGTTTGGATAAAAACCCAATCTAAACAATTTATTGACATTATGCCTTATGACACGGTACGTCTTTTGGTATATTCTTTTCAAACTAGCTAAAAAATGGATTTATAAAAGTAGAATTATAACAGATCAGATACATAAAAGACAAAATTACTCAAATAAAAACAATAAAAAATTATTTTTAACACAGCAAAAGTACAATTCAAGAGCATCAATTTTAGCGAGAGAGTTGTAACTTTGCAACAAAGTTGTACCAAAATTCCTGTGATATAATATTACATTGTACATATTCTTGACAATCTGTATTCTTCAAAATTTACTAAACAATTAAACTGAATTACTACAAAACATTTAAAGGCAGGAATTTTTTATGAGGGAGTTGTAGCACCACAACATTCTAATTAAATTGAAATACCTATACATGTGTACATTATACATATTCTTAACAATCTGTATTCTTTAAAACATACTTGAAGTTTATTGAATTATTTTATCATCAGTTATGCTGATTATGTAGTCAAAAAAACTCATTATACCTTCTTTGGTCAATGCCAATTTTCTCACATTGAACAATCACTGCTCTTCTGGGCACAAAAGATAATCTAATCCAACTAAGGGTATAATTACCTACCACATTGGGATATACAGTCATCATGAACCCAAGCTCAAATAGTGGTCATTTCAAGTTTCGGACTTGATAAATCGAATATTTACACAAAAGCACAATAAAACTGGTGATGTAAACAGTGACTAAACCTGACCATGTGTCTATCTGATATAAGTCATTTATTTAACAAGAGAAAAGATAATTCAGCAAAAAGTTTCGAGCTGAATCAAAATATTGTTTACTCACATTATTTACCGGAATCGAAACATTTTCTTCAATTCTAGTACAACTTGGTAGAAAGAAAAACTCGGGCAAATATTTGTAAAAAAGTTTGACAAAATTAGTGACCAAATATTTCTTTATCATTTGCACATTCCAATGTCAGTGCAGTTTGAAAATTTGAAAGAAATATAGTTTGGCGATTAAGTCTAATATGTGAACAAGAATTATATGTTTCAACCAAGTCGGAAATTCTTGGGTTACAGAAATATATACAAGATCTTACCAGAATGTCATCTTCAGTAACAACTGGATGTAAATTGAAAACTTTGAGTTTTGTTCCTTCTATCGGGCTTGGGCCGAGCGGAATGTCATCCTAAAACAAATAGGAAACTCTGGTCATGATCAATATTTCAGAAATAATAAGAAAACAGAAGTTTAGTTTAATCCAATCCAATACGCAATTCAGAGTGTCGTAGATCAGCGGTTCCCAAACTATGGGTCGCGACCCACTGGTGGGTCGCAAAAGGAATCTTAGTGGGTCGTGAATAGATGTAGAAAGCTTTGGTTAGTTATACTGGTTATTAGGATCGGTGGCTTCTCGAATACGTAAATCTTTGAAAAAAAAAAAAATTAAATTAAAATTCTAATCTGTGAAAGTTTCCTTTTTCGATCTTCTCAAAGGAACAGAAATTTGCTACACAAAGAATGACCATGTGGCTTTTTTACGCATAGCAGTTTTGTACACTGTACAGCACTTCTTACCGTGTTTCCCCGAAATTTAGACAGGATTTAGATTTATTTTCTTTCGAAGAATAACACTATGGTTTTTTTGGGAGAGGTCTTTTGCGTTCATTTATCGAAAATGAAATTACATTGTAGTAAAACCACAAGATTTTTCACTAAACATTATATAAAAACCGACATCCATTGTTTTTATTTGTATTTCCTATCCAAAAATCAAGTGACAAATATCATAATTGTGATATCACACAATCTTGAATAGTGGTGTGATCTTCACTTTATCTCAGGCCAATGAACCTCTCCTCTCCCACACATTTTAAATTTATTTTAAGGGTAGGGTTTAATTGAAATCATTTTAAAAATTCAAATTATTATCTTATTTTCAGGCCAGGTCTTATTTTCGAGGAAACACGGTAGTTTTGCGATGATTAGCTATTGCTGTGTTCTGTGTTATGTCATAAAAAAAAACAAAATAAAATGAAATTAAAGTTAAGTGGGTCGCACAAGCAGTGGTAATAAATAGTGGGTCCCAACTCTAAAAAGTTTGGGAACCACTGTCGTAGATAAACATTGAATTAATGGTCTCACCCAAGTTACAAGACTTAAATTTACCAATGAGTAGAAATGATCAAGGTTTTAGAAAAACAACCTTGATGCCACTCTTAAAAAGATTGTGATAAGATCTACTGAGTTCCTGAAATATTTGTTCATGAAAATCGGCGAATGGGAGCCGAAAATGCGAGAATTCGATTTCATTATCATCAAACAACATCACAAAAAGCACGCAAATTTTTTTTACTATACCTCACAACTAGTCAGTGAAGGCAAATAAATTTCTGAGAAAATTATGAGAATAAATCTACTGCTTCAAATAAGGGTCTGTAAAATGAGCAGCAATCTTACAGCTATCCCCGTGTGACATAATACTATTAACCCTTTTTACTTAAATTTCTACTTAGGCTCAAGTTTTTTCCTAGAACCTTGTGTTTAGTACAAAAGAAAATATATCATACATCATCCTGCACTGGTAATTTTGTTCCAGATGTTTGTCTTGAAATCATTGGTCTTAATGTACTGGTATCTGGTTTAGAATGTTGTCTCGGCATCGGGGGTGGCGAAGGATGATAGATTTCTTCTTGAGCGGGCTTTGGAGGTACGGGAGCTCTGTGCTGCCTCCTCTGTTTTGAGTACACTGGGCGGTCTTCAAAACTATCGTCAGATTCTGGTGACGGCAAAGACCGCTTTCCTGGTTTATAAAAAAAAATACAGCAATAATTTAGTTTATTTCGAAGACGAAAATTGAGACGAAAATGTCTCAACATCGAAAATACAGTGGTAACCTTGTAGTCAAACATATTTCATTCAGGATTGATGTCCGACTACCAAACTGTCGACTATCATTGCATAAAATAAGCAAAATATAGGTTTTTTTCTGATTTACGATTTATCCAGAATTTATTTCCGGTAATTTAATTAATAATTAATATCCGATAATTTAATTCTCAGAGAAAATATCTTGTTCATCAATATCATCACCACAAATATTTTCTTATCAATTAGGAGTGTGAATGAGAAATGAGAGATGTTTTCCAAGACATTGTTGACCACCAGATCGCTGAAATGCAATTGCAGAATCGCCACACAGTGCGCAACTTTCAATTTTGACGACGTCATCTCATCACACAAAATTTTAAAGTGAAAAACGAATCCAATAAAGCCCCCAGGAATTTTTTAAATAAACAAGAGTAATAGCGACAAAAACAATCTTTGACTTTAACCACTGAGAATTTGAAAGCAATTGGTCAATTAGTTTGAAAGAAAAGCGATTTTTTCACAACAAGAAAAATATCAACAACAACAGCAACGTAACAAAACGATCCATGATAGACGCTGATTCTGAGGAAATACTTACTAATTGTAGCAGGTCTTGGTGCCGGTGGTGGTGATGAACGTCTTGGGGGTGGAGATTTCTGGATAAAAGGAATCATTTCAAATAAATTAAAAATGGAGAATTTCTATTAAAAGTTTTAATATGTTATAACAAAGAAACGAATTCTTTGCTTCGAAAGACAAGTTTGACAAAAACATTCTACAATTTCAATTTTACTATTTATAATTTATTTAAAATTTTCCTGAACAGTATAAATAAAAACAACTTACCCTTCTGATTGCGTCTTTATTTACAGTTGTTATTTTCAATTTTTCATATTGTTTTTTCGTTGTTGGCCATGGCGGTACACTTGATCTCGCACTGGATGTTGCAAGTTCATTTATAACCGCAATTTTTATTCCAGCACCTAGTCTCTGATTTACAGTGTTACCATTCTGAAAGAAAACATTATATTATAACTCAAAACTTCTGATTATTATTGTTGTTTTTGTTGACACACAATTAGATGAAGAAGTAGCCATTTGATTGTAAATAGAAACTTTGAGGTTCAAAACATTACTAATGAATAGTTCTATCTTCTATTGAAATATTTCAGTTCTACTGGATTCCAGTTTTTTTTTGCCTCACAAATATATTTCCAGCGTATAAAAAATTTGTCTGATTCAAACACCATTGAGCATAACTCAATTTATCGAAGGGAAAACAGAATTCAAATGTTGACATTTAATTTGAATATTGTTTTATCTAACACAGCAAAGAATAAGTATCCCTAAGATCATAGCATTCATATAATTCCAATTTCCAGGTACTCAGTGATCTGCTATTATGAGTAAAGGTGTAGGCCATAATGATAGCACAGACATGGGAATATTTATATAACAGTTCCATATTTAATGATTATTGGTTCAATCAAAGACTGAATAAAATGAATAAGAAATTTTCTAAGCATGTTGTTATTAAATAACGAAAAAATTAAAAGCGGCAAACTTTTAAACATTCATGATAGTTTGTTTATTTTGTATTGTCATTATACCTAAGATGTACAAAATCATTTTCCAGTTACTTATACTGTTTAACATACCATAACATATAATGTTTACATCTACATCTAATAATATAGCCAATCATCTAATAGTATGATTTATAGGCCATAAAGAAAAAATACTCACTCTATTATTACTTGAATGACCGAGAGTCGACCTTGTTTTATTTCCTTGAGCAACATGGAAAGTAATGTTGGGCAATTGATGAGGCTTTTTCAAAGCTAGTTCATTTGGAATTGTAACTTTGGGTATTCCCCCGACATGTTTTTGTGGTGCAGGGCGTGCTTGATTGTGTTTAGCTTCTATCTTCTGTCGAGCATCAACAATTTGCTTTGGCTTAATTTTTTGCCGAGCATCAGTTATTGTGTTCTTTGATTTTATAAAGAGTCGTGCATCGACAATTTTTTTTCGGTTTTGCTGCCTCGCAGACTGAAGTCTCTTTTTCTGAAAAGCCAAATTTGGCCTCATTCCTTTATCACTATACATTCCTCTTGCACTGGGTTTCTTGCTTCTGTGGTAAAATAAATACAATGAAATATTTTGGAAGTATTGAACCTGTTAAAGTCATAACTGAGCACGAAGCATTGTAAATATCAAGCAAAGTGACCGAATCACGAATTTAAGGCTTTCAGCAGTTCAGACTCGTCAGTTAGTGCATCAGGCTAACTAACCACTACAGCACTAGGAATCAGGTTGCCAGACTGCCCTCATGCACAGATTAACAAAGGCAATATAACATTAGCCCTACACTCATAAAAGCATATTTCACCATATATTTCAGTGATATCAATCACCCCAAATCAAAAAAATATAAACTAGGAAAGAATTGTACATAGTGTAAATAGTTAACAAAGATGAGAGGTATTGATATAATCCACATTGAACCTGTTAAATTATTTTATTACTAATTCTATTGGGTGGCAACTGAATCTGATGACCCCAAAAGGGGGTATCGTTGCCTCCCAGTCATATATATACCTGTATACGAAAAGCATGAATCTGTATATTATTTTGATTTGTATGTATTTATATATTGTGTTTTCTTGGTTTGGCAAACGTAATAAATCTCTCTCTCTCTCTACTGTAGTCACAATTTGCAGTTTTATTGGTGGCTAAATTCATTATTACAGTATTACCGTACCGGTACCGTACCGCTGTATCAAGCAAACTTCAAAATTAATGATAATAAACTCACCTTATTTTCTTTGCAGTCTTTCTCTCCTTTATAATTTCATCCAAGGATTGATCTACCAATCCCATCACCTGATCACAGAATACTGGAATAGTCCAATAGGTTTCTGTATTTCAATATTCGTACCTTGAAAATTACGGTATCCAGACACCGGTATCCTCGTTTCAACTGATAAATAGGCCTAGACTAGTGTAGTAGCCTATAATGGTATATATCTATGCCCTACCCGTGTATCTAGGCTTTACTAAATAGAAAAAAATGAATAAAAACAAAAAGTTCGTCGGTTTTTGTGGTCACATTTACAGTTTTATACCGACAATGTACGGTACTGACTGCTGGACTGGGAAGGCCTTCGGGTCTAATTACAGGATTGAAGAGTTATCTGTTTGTATATTCTATTATTATAACAATGCTCGTTTTCTTCTGGTTGGCGAAATACCGTATCGCACCGTAATAAATCTTCGCCGCATTTTCTACGGCGACGTTGAGCGCCTGTCTTCACTAAAGGGCTCCAAATCCAATGGACGTTTCCCTGATCCTTGACCCGAGAAAAATTCTATTTTGCTTTACTGCAGTACTGCACAAATTTTTTTCTTATACATAGGTTTACGCGTTCGGAACCTTCAAATGAAATTATTAGACAACCTTCCATTTCTTTGAGGGGTGGCTCATTTTGATAAGAAGAAAAAATAAACTTGACTTTATAATGCGCCGGGAAGGCCAGGGTTTCTGGCAAATGTACTAGCATTATTTTTCGTAGATAAAAAACAAAAACTTGTACACGGTCTCATTCCAAGTGAAAGATGCGATGAACTGTCGTATAAAATACCGTTAAAAGGATCACTTCCGATTAGCAATTAGGAAGAGTGCATTGATTTAAACACCCACAACCCAGGGTTGATCGATATAAAAAGGCAAGAAATTATTTATTCCGATACCTGCTCCTTGTGGGTCATTTCGAGGTAATATGTGAACCTTACCTCATAGAACACAGCGAGCGTTCCTATTTATTTATTTTAGATGACGAGATTGAATGAATGAAATGTCTGTGGTGGGACTCTGAGCTCGCTTGTATAGAAAAGTTACTACCTGGTACATATATTATATGTTGAGTATTATCACACATTCAACTAAGAACCCATGCATTCAATAAACTAAAAAAAAAACTGACCATACAAAAAACCAGCCTTGCTTCAACTAGACATATATATTTCTTTTTATATCTACACAGTGCATCGAATTAAACTACAAAATAATACAAACACAGATTGTCAGTCACTGTTATAACATACATGCATAGGAAAAGAAGAAACTTGGGTCTACCAGTCCCATTTTCATAACTGATTTTAAAAAAGAATGAGATATGATGTAGATACATCTTTGCTTCAAAACAATGTTTCCCGACTACACTTGGAAACATTGAATTATTCAAAAACCTGTAACATATACTTTAAGACATGCTGTTGTGGAGGGGAGATAATGTTGAGCTCCAGAATAACTGTTTTTCGTGCCAAGATATTCGAGTGGAATGCACGAGATTATGACACTCCACAAATCTGTACTCGCTAAATCAAAATGGGATTTTATTTGAATCCACCATAAAAATGAAATTACAACGCATGCGAACATGGAACAAAGTAGAAAAAATGGTTATTTCATGGAGCATGGATATGACCATAGGCCAGGAACCCAAATAAAGTTGCATTAAAGTAGAAACCCAAATGGAAGATATTCAAAGCAGTTACAATAATTTATTTCCTCATAATTAAGCACTATGCATTAAGATATATGCATGACAAAAAAGTTCCTATATTTATGTACTATGTTCCATTTGAAGACGTGCCGAGCATGTATGGGGACAAAAAGAATTGCAAAACATAACATAAACAAAGGTAACCAAAAAATCGTAGTATACATTGACAGAGATGGTATTATATAAAATTCCAAGGGAAGACAAAAATGATAGATAGCCATGGAAGACTGTGAACAATAGGTTTAATAAAATTGCTACAAAATCACCATAAAGGCACCTCAGCTACTAACTTCATAAATGCAGTGGTAAAGTAATATTTCTATGCATAAACTTAATAATTTTTTTAAATTTAACATTGAAAAAACACAGTAATAAAAAGCTCTAATTACACATCAAATACTATGCCAAAATCATAATACAATGCATGTGTGTACCAATAATTCAGTATGCTTTTCTTGAATGAATGAGATAGAAATACAAGTTAATAAAACACTCTTAATAAATTTCCCAACAGCTATCTAACACTGGAACATCTTAAAAACTATCTTTTAACCAAAAAGTGCAATCAGGTTTAATTAACAGTGGTTAAAGGCATCACAAATAAACTGCTACAGTGAGTTTCTGTACAAATTATAAAATTGATCATGGACAATGTGTGTATATTTAAGCATCTTGAGGAACTTCAATTGAAGCAGTTGCCTTCTCTTTTTGAGCCAATTCCTGTAATATAAAAGTAAAATATTTTAAAATATTCATAAAATTAAAAATATTCAAAGTGTGTTATGGATTGTCAGTGTTGATAGCCTGTCGATTCTCTTTCAGAAATTGTTCCATTCGCTAGGTATGCCACTGATAAGTGAACTACGTTTTTGGTGATATTCTAAATCAGGGGTTCCCATGCTTTTTTCAGGACGATCCCAAAGACAACTTTCAAGTGTCTAGTGCGACCCCAGGCAAATATATATATTTTTCATGAAAGTTTAAGCTTCTTTCACTAGACTTTTTAGATTTGTCATGTGGTGGTATTAAGTAAAATAAGCTAAAACCAAACAGTGATGTCACATTAATCACCTACATTTTCTATAGCATAAGCATAGAGCGATGCCTATGGGCCTGTTTTACAGTAAGTCATGGTACAAACTGCTAAATTTAAGATGGTTCATCAAATTTCAGATGTTTTGTACATTCATCCTCGACCATACCTCAGCGACCCCACCGACCCCATGACCTGTTTGCGACTCTACCTACTTATCACTCTGACCCAATTTGGGGTCGCAACCCCTGGTTTGGGAACCCCCTGTTCTAAATTTACCCTCAAAATACACAGGAAGTATTGTATCCATATTCAAGACATTCAGACCCAAACAAGGACATTTTAGTAATTTAGCGATATTTTGAATGAAAGTATCATTCACTTTATGGAGGCAAGGTAAAAGGATGAATTTAAAAATTTTGAAGAATTTGAAAATATTACATAGAAAGAGGAAGCATACTCTGTATGTTGGTATTTAATCATTGTCTGTGTATTCACCAGGATTTTCATAAAATTACAGGAGTTTAAAAATCAAAATTATATGTTGAGCTCTTTATCTCCTTAATTCAAATGCCCTCAATAGACAAAAGAAAAATGGGAAACCAAGACAAAATTATATTACTTCTGACAACATCTTTTGCTGTTTGAAAAACTTTTTTGTAATAAATGAGGTACATCATATGCCAAATTGAAAGGCAAATGGCGTCTTACTACATCTGTTAAATATTTAAAGGAAGGGCCTGGCCCTAGATCTCAAAGTTGAGTGCCATGCACCAAAATGGCGCACAACCTGAACTTAGTATGTTAACCAGGTTAGGGTTATCAGGTTGTGCGCCATCTTGGCGCACATACTTCTGGAGCGCCCAAAATTGATCTTGAGCTTATGAGCTTCCCAGATGAAAACAAATACATACATTCAATTCCTGTTCTTGAGCCATCATCCTTCTTTTCCTCGATCTTCTTGCTTTTAATTTCATTTGGAAATCTGCATGTTGTCGGGCTCTGTTTGCTTCCATCTCCTTTGAATATTCTTCTCGTTGTTTGTCATATTCTGCCATCACTACCTCAAGGTTTCCTGAGTGAAAACAATCCCAAGTTAATATACACAAGAATTGTTTTCTGGTCTGTTATTCTTTGAACGCGTACCCAACAGTTGTCTCTTTGTCTAAATGCACTAGGTATTAAAAACATGCTCGTTGTTGTAATGCTGGACTTCTGAAAGTGAATAGCTAGCTGTACCACCTAATAGCCAGGTTACAGTGGTGGGATTCAAATTTTTTGTCAGCCGGTTCCTTCACCAAAGTCATATTTTTCAGCCGGTCTTGTTACAAACAGAACATTGACAGTAACCAGTAAAGCTAACCGGTTCGCGGATCTCATAAAATTGCGTGAGACGGTTCTATAGAATCGATGCGAACCGGCTGAATCCCACCACTGCACATCCATGTATCGTTGTACCAATTTCTAAAAACTATATTGCTTCAAATAGTATGCTTGATGTTAATCATCGGGTACTCCTGAAATATGTGAATCAAGATGGTCGACGACACTGGGCCGTAGTATGTGTACCAGGTTAGGGTTAGGCCATAATTTTATTCTAATTTTCCTTATTTTAGTTCTAGTATTTGTACCTAAAATTATGGCCCATTTCTAACCTGGTACACATACCATGTTCCATTGTCCACCATCATGGTACGCAACTACGCATACTTTAGTAATATCAATTATTGAATTCAAATAAAAATTGTCGATGCATACATGATAGCAAACACCGAATAAACAAAAAATTTCTTAAAATACCAAACATAGAGTCAATCAACCATTTAAGATGCTAAACCAAATTTAATCAATCAATCAATTTTATTTTGGTCAAAAACAGTCAAATATCACAATAAAATAAACATACACAATACAAAATCGGATAATAACTTTAATTGAATCGATTCAATCATGCAAACACTGATCAAAAGAAGAACCTGAAAATACTCTAGATGAACTAGAAAAATTAATAGATTTTTGTGACTTGTGATGTGGTGCAATATTAGTGGAAATACAAAATGTTACATCAAGATTTTGTTGCAATAAAAGACTATCCTCACCAAAAAGTTCGTCTTCTTTAGGCGAAGGTGCCAATTCATCCAAAGGTAGCGCCATAGGTTTGTCATCTTCAACTGAAGCTGTTTCATTAGCCTGTATGACAATACAGTAGGTTTTTTACGACCAGGTATTATAGTGGTTGAAGTTATTAAAGCAGTGGTTCCCAAAGTTAAATAACCGGGTGATCAAAAGGATATTCACCGGATGGGAGAAGTAAGTGCCCGCAAGGGGCCTATAACGATACGTATATTTAAGATACTGGTAATATTGGATTTTTACGAATATACATGTGATTAATCTGCATTAATGCCGTAACAATTGGCGGTATCTAGAACGCGAAGAGGTAAAAATGAAGTTGAACATGCGCAAGCCGCAGTTTGAGAACCAATGCCTCAAAGCATACGACATTTCTAAAAAATTCATACAAGGTGACCCAGAACAAAACCCAGGTGATCATTCGGAACAAATTCTAGAGAGAGAACTTTCGTACAAATTGTCCTAGATTACTAAAACCTTTGGTTACAATCATACACAAACGGAAGTCAAAAAATTAAATAAATTGAGCCCCATTTTCGTAGAAGTGATTACAAAATTTATGGATTCTGTTTTGGGGGTCATCCTTGTATTATACTGAAAAATTACAGGTTGCTATTCTTTTTAAAAATGCTCAGGCATACTGGCTTCAGAATAAATCATATTGGCTATTATTAGATGATCACAATAAATTTCAGCGCATCTGATGTTTGTATGAAAATAAGAAACATCAAGATTAGTTAATGAATTTACAAAATAATTGAAAAACAAGTTCAAATTTCTGTTCGAGCCACACTTATCCCTATTCAGCATTTCCTAAAGTTTTCACAGAACCCTAAATTATATACCATCATCAGTGACTTACCTCCCCTTCTGCACTTTCCTCTTGTGCTTCTTTGATCTGTTTGTCAAGATCTTGAGATTCTGGAATATTTTCTGCCTCTGCAGCAACATCCGATGGCTCTGCGTCATCACTTTCAATCCCAGAATCTGATTTTTATTTCATTTAATCAAGGTTATTTGATTAGAAAGAGATTTTCGTATTTATCAAAAGACAGACAGCCTAGTACAGGGCTACTAAACTATTTTCACTGAAGATCCCCATACAAAAATTCAAAATTATTTGGGTCCGGTGTTTCCAGAAATTTTATTTCAGCATCCTTAAACGCGCACTTCCTCGACCGGCTAATGATTATCAGCTAATCAAGATTGTTTATTATGGTGTTATAGTTATTTTCATATATATTCAAAACAATAAGTCATTTTATAAAATGAAATTTGTAAATTGGGGCTAATGACCCAAAATAAAGAATTAGGTGCGGTCCGAATCAAATACTCGAAAGGTCCATATTCGGACCGGACCGCCAGTTGAGTGGCTCTGGCCTAGTGTTTGAAGAGACGGACTTTGAATATGTTTGCAGACTGAAATTCTCAGGTTCAAATCCCATGCCCAGCATCTCACCAGGCTTATACTGAATTGTGTAGGCAATACAGAATAAAAGAGAGTCGGCCCGAAATATTCTATCAGAGGGTTGTGAAGAGCATTGTTCAGAGTGAAAGATGGGTGCTCCCGAAGTATTTTTACCAAGATGGCGCACAACCTGAACATAGTGTGTGTACCAGGTCAAGGTTGTTCAGGTTGTGTGTCATATTCATACCAAGATGGCGCACAACCTGAACATAGTATGTGTACCAGGTCAGGGTTGTTCAGGTTTTGCGTCATTTTCATACCAAGATGGCGCACAACGTCATCTTGGTATGAATACTTCCGGAGCGCCGAAAGATGTGTGAGGAGAGATGAGGGAGATGTGAAAAAAAAGCCTCCTAATCTGCTATCAGTTATGCTCTCGCACAAAGTAATCAACTAGAATAATTACATTACTTTATATCTGTGAGTATGTTCATATTGAATAGTTTTTTAAATCCAATTAATTATCTCCAGAAAAAAATCTCACCAGCTGTGGGTTCTTCCCAAGTGATTGTTTCTCCGGTCGCTTCCTCAATTTTCTCTTTCATTAGTCGAGTCCTTTCCACTCTTAGCTGAGATTGGAGATCAGCACATCTAGTACGAGAGTTTGACAAGTCTCCTTGTATTCCGGTAGTCAAAACCTAAAATAGCAAAAATAAGTACAAACTTTGTGTTAATTCTCAGTTGTGTTATCAATAATCCCACTAAAATTCATATGTCAAAATACCCGAGATAAGGTAATATTGTAAAATACCAGACAATAATACTAAAGCATATCACAAGTGTTCAAAACATTTCGACATTATTTTTTGAATTTAAAATAGCATTATAATTGGTTAATTTTGAGACAAAATTTATCCGGACAAACAAAATTGCAAATGATTCAGAATTGAAAACTCTGAACAGCACAATATAGTAAAAATATTATACACACGCATCACATTTTAAAATTGAACAGAGCATCCCTATTTCAACAGTGTACATCTCAATATTCCTATTATTTAACCTTTTTTTGTCTTTGTACAAATGTATTTTGTATTTTTCAGAAACTTGTGGAAGGAAATGTAATTAAAAAATGTAAATCAGTTATGGAGAAGAAATTTGAAAGCAAAACTATAATCTTATATACTTTTTGGGCTAGTTTCCTGAGAATGCCGGCCAATACTGCTTGTAATCATAGACATCAAATTTGAAAGCAAAACTACAATCTTATATACTTCTTGGGCTAGTTTCCTGAAAATGCCCGGCAATACTGCTTGTAAACATAGACATCAAACAATTGCTGAGAAAGAACATATGTGGAATTCACCACCACAGCTATTTTCCCGACCATATTGACTGCTACAAATCTCATGTCAACTAGCATTTACTCGTATCTAATACACCGCCAAAAATATATATAGTCTTTGTTGCTCTCGGCAATTTCTTGGAGTTTTGTTCTGTTTTCCTTAAGTCAAAACTGCTTATAATCAGAAAACTAATTATAGCCAAAGAGGAACATCAGTTGTGTGGAATGCACTACCTCATTGCTGTTTCGGACCTCCTGAAGTATGCGCACCAAGATGGCGCACAACCTGAACTCAGGCTGTGTACCAGGTTAGGGTTCAGGTTGTGCGACATCTTGGTGCGCATACTTCAGGAGTACCGCTGTTTCTTTGATCCTATTGACTTGGACTTCTTCGAATCTCACTACAACAAGGATTTACTATTGTCTAATGCGCTACTATAATCTTGTATAATTAAAGTAATAAGTTCTTGTCACTTAAATACTGTCCATAACTTTGCTCAGATATGATTCCCATTTACTTCCGAGTAAATGTGGGTGACATTTATCTTGAGAAAACTCTCGTAAAAAATACCCATGTCCCGAAGATTACCTTTCCGATGGGCTGTAGACTTGATTTTTGCAGCGCTTATGAGTTCACTAAAACATCAAGAAAACAAAATAATAATCCAAAGTTGTTCTCAACTCACTTTGTTGATCCATTGGCCAAGAACATGGCTTCTATCTCTGGTTGTCCTGTACACATTTCCTGCGTGACTATGTCGTGAATTGTCTTGCACATCAATGAATATATAAGTGATGGCTTTGTTCAATGTTGCAACCTAGAAGGTTTGATAAAATAAATTCATCAGAGTAAAACAAGGTCCAAAAATATATTGATAATTTCAAATAATAAACTTAAACTGAAGGAGAACAGGTTAATAGCAAAAATAATAATAATTGGATTAACAAGGTATTCATCCAAGATTAAGCACTAATAAATTTTATATAGCACAGACAGGGTGCTTCCGACTATATAGTATACAGACAGCACAGACTTCCAACTCTTTGGTATACAATCAATAATCAGCGATGGCAAATTGCCCAAATGCTACAAGAACTGTGCGTCAACCACAGAGTCATAAGTAAATGATCAAAACATTGGAAAATAATAATTTATGATTGATAGAAAGATTTTATGTTGATGAATTAGCCATGGACCCAAGATTGTTTTCCAATGTGTAGCTCACATATTTCTATTTGTACTAAATTGCAACAGCAGAAGTGACTTAGCCTATGTTACTTCAAAAAAATGAATAAAAAAATGGTTTGAAAAAATGTCTCATTTGTAATAGCTAGGTTCCAATAACCAATCCTGAAAATTGACATGGGCGCTACCTAAAATCTAAACTAAAACAGGTATAACTTAATCCTGGACAAAAATATGGCCCCTAGTCCATAATCACACAAGATCGTAAAAAGTCTATTCCTGAGAAGTGTGACATCACCTACTTTGGTTTGGCTGCAGCATATGGCCGATCACTGTGCACTGACTGAAGAACAGATATTGAATATTCAAAAAGTTTGACAAAACATACATTGCACCATTTAGATCTTATCAGTTATAGGCGTTGGCGCAGCGATGTGGCTCATCGTGCTAAGCGTTAGGACTCGCCACGGCACCCGACATGAAATGATAACCGGACGAGACGCCGTGGTTCGGCATATGGTTGAGCCGTCGCATCCACTTTCCTCTCCCCCTGGATAAATATGTAAATCCTATCCTATACTCACTGATGCATGTAGTTACAGAAACTGTTAAAATGTTTTTAGGTATATTCTAAATTTTAACAAAAACCCTTGAGAGGATAGAGTTTTCAAATTTGAACTGTAAAAGCTCCAGGCTATTAATTTACCTCATTCCTGTCACAATATGGAAACTTGACTTTACTCAGCAATCTCTGTGAATTCGAAAGATTCTGCGACGCAGCTATCAAATAACTTCGAGCTTCTGCTGCAATTTGAACACGTAGCATCTTGTGTCTAAAAATTCAAAACACATTTCATATAAACGATAGATAGCAAAACTCAATAAATATTTGAACAGATATAAATATATAAAAATCTCATAAAATTATTCATTTAGTGATTTAGAAGTCTTATTGCACACACATCTTCGTTAAGTACAAAATGATATTTCAACATAGACATTTCCATTTCCCTAACACAATGCTTGGTGTATCGAAAAGTGTTCTTACGGGCTACTGGAAGAGCCACCTCGAAGAAGACCTTGGACAAGCCGCTATGTGAGAAGCTGTTAGTTTGCCCAAGACAGCGTACAGCGTTTAATGTAAGGTGTCAGGCTCAAGTTTTTTTTATCTTTCCAGTATAATGCAACCTTGAGGTACCATGTTACACAATCTATATGGTTTCTCCCCACTATAAATTGACTAATAGTTAATTTCTCACCCTGCAGAGTTGTTGGGAATCCTCAGTATACTCTGCCATCTTGCATATGCGTAATTAAGTTGATTTGTAGCACTTTGCACGTAGATCTGAAATGAAACATGAGCGTTTTATATATTGTGGGTTTGAATCAAAAAGTGTGGATTGGTGAGGATAAGACCAGCATAGATTTGAATAATTATAGATTAATGAGACAGTGGTTCCCAACCTTTCAGGGCTTGTGGCCCCCTTGTTACTTGTCGATTTTAATCGGTAAGTATGTTGATAGGTATTTGTCTGTCTGTCTGTTAGATGCACGCGATATCTCACGAAAGCGAGATTGAATCTGCTCCAGATTTTGCATGTGCATTCATCATATGTCGGACCAGAAGCCTATTGATTTTAGATGAATTATGTCGTATAATTAGCGAGTTATTAATTAATTAGTGATGGGACACAGGGTGTCACTATAGAGTAAGAGCGCTGTTTTGGGGATCCCCTAACTTTCGATCGATAAGTCTTCGGTCTCTGACCGATATTTTTTTTTATAATTCCATTGGTATTTATAGTGCTTTTTGATTGATAGATTCCAAATCCCATTATGTTTAAACAATTCATGCTCAACAACAAGGGTGAACCTTATCAAGAAATGAAACTACGATAGTTGTATCTAGCATTGCATCTAGCATTGGGGCCCCCTAAACTGCTCTGTGGCCCCTTTGGAGGCTCCCGGTTGGGAACCACTATAATAAGATATTCTGGAACAGAACACGGAACACAGGAGCTTGCCCTATTAAAAGAAGCAAATCATAAGGCGAACTCTATCAAGACAGATAACCAGGATGCCAGTGAGTTTGTCATCCTCACCGAAAGCACTGTGATGATGTTTGATAACCTTACCATTTCTCAATCAGTTCCAAGCTTGAAGGTGTCAACTACACTATATAATACAAACTCAATATAGGCTTTAAATGCATTCAGAAAGTATTACTTAAATGTATAATTTAATGCATACGGTTTCAGTATGTGCAAATGCCCTTCAAGTTTAGTATTTATAAATGTATAAACTAATCAGGTTTGTAATATAGCAATTGCTCCAATTGGTGCTTTAGCCATCTCACTGTATAAAGAGTCACTAATGCAATGACACTAATATTGTTAGGTAGACCAAGTCTACCTGATATATTAAACCTAGGCAGAGGTTGTGAGTACGGGGCATATTAACCAGGCATCTGTAACCCACAATGCCAACATTACATCTGGTTTAGTTCCGTTTATAAACACAGCCACACAATCATTCGTGAAGTTTAACTGCTGTGGAAAATGATTAAATTATATAAAACATTTGCAAAGTTAATCATTAAGTTTACTGTATGTTTTGAAAACTACTTTCCAAGAACTAGGTAATCAGTAACAAGGAGTGTTGGATTATGATATGAAGACCTACTAATGCCTATTTAATTAATTTGTTATCAAAAATTACGAACAACAGAATATTTGTTGTACCTGGGCGTTACTCCATGAGTTCATTGAAGCCTGAATTCTTTGTTTTCTATCTTGTTCTTTATCTAGATCGGCTTCCAATTTCTCTTCTAACTCACTTCCATAAGATCCACCAAATATTGATTCTATGTTTTTGAAAAATACCAAATATACTTTATGTCGTAGAGAATTACCGTAGGTTTTCAAAACCAAAAATTTTTAAGCAGCAAGTCAATAGAGAAAACTTGAACTATTCAGAACAGTATTTCATGTAAAGCATTTTGAAACCTTCTGAAATGTAAAAAACGCATTTTTCTGTATCATAGATTCATAATCGGCAATTTTTCGCATTTTGAGACGCTTTTTGGAACTCTTGAAAACCCATGTTTTCAGCTAGCTGTTACTGCCAACTTGATACTTAGAAATTGAATTGCTGGATATACCTCGAGAGTTCTCATCTACTTCAAATTAGACATCTACAAATACTGTATATGTACTGTATATACAGTAACTAACTTGACCCCTAAGCCTTAATTACATAGGCTATTAATGAAAAAAATTATAAAATAATTTTTATTTTCAACAAAATTTTTTTTACATGTATTTCATTCCGAAAAAAATTTACAGAAGGACTAGAATTGACATGAGCAAACTACAGTCCACAGACCAACTTAAATCAAATTTTAATATTTTAACTAAAGAATTTATTGAGATTGTAATTAAATTTAGTTTTGGCACGAGGCTTATTGTTTTCCACTCTTGCTTTTGTAACAATTCAAATATTGTTCATAAAATTAACTTTTTATGCCACACTTACATGGCCCCCCAGTCTAGGTGCACAAAATGTTTGGCCCCCGGTATAAAAACCTTACCCACCCCTGGACTAATAGGACCCACTAATATGTGAAAGTTTGTAATTTTGAAATGTAAGTTTCTTTCAAGCTCAAAGCTGCTACCGGGTCAAACATCTAAACCTAACAAGACCAATAGCTGGATGTGCAACATACCCAGAATGTCATCCTGTTCTTTGTAATGCTTGTTAAGTTCAGTATGATCAACTTGTAATTCCTTGATCTCAGATTCCATCTTGGATTGTCTGATTTGCAATGCCAAGAGTCTCTTGTAACAATCTTCCATCTCTGTCTTAGCTTGAATGTATTCCTAACGAAAACAATGAAATATCTTGAACATAAAATATTCCATAGTTTGAAATAGGAGTTTCATATTTATCCTGTGGAGAGGAAAGCAGGAAAACCGGTTTCCTGTCGAATCAATGTTGGGTATGGGAAAATTTAACCTGTTATTTGTTACAGACACATGTACCTGATGATAAGTAAGTTGTAACCGACCATCAGTTACGAGAATTATACTGCGGCGATGAGGATCTCAGTAATGCTCTCACACATAAAATTAACCTGAAAGTTTGTAAACCTGCGTAGGGTAATCATATTCCTAACGTATAGCTCGATGCGCGATACCACCCAGAATAAGTTATTGTTCCTAACTTTGAGATAATATTATCCTGCTGGTACTTGTTCACCACTTATTAAGAAATTATTGCCACAATGCAACGAATCCATGTTGGAGCTTCAGAGGAAAATTTTTGAGATTGGTAATTCTGAAGAGTCAATTCATTAATAAAATAATATTGCTTGCTCACATTCAGTAGCAAGTTAATAATTTAGATCCCAAAATCAGAAATGACTCGCGGTCACTAAATTTCCTGTATGTAAATCGGATTGGCCGAAACTGACTTATCAGCACTCTCATTTACTACTAATAAGAATATGCTCTTGGTTATTCTATTTTGAATCACTGCTCAGTAGGTCCTGCCATTTAACTGATAGTTATGAACTTTCTTCAAAAAGAGTTTCCATCACTTTTGAGTTAGTGCATGTGACCTTACTTGGAGCAAATCCCTTTAATAAGATATCAATGAATTATCTTAAAAGCATTATATCGCTGAATCAGAGTGAACACTGACCTCTTGTTCTTTGGACATCTGAGAATCAAATTGTACTTGAGACTGGAAGTAATCCAGCATGTTTTGTGCTTTAGCAAGAGATTCAAGGTTTTGAACATCTCGAAGTTCTTTCTGCCTGTAAAAAAAGATTAGGAAATAGCTATTGTTTCTAACACATTGGTTGTGACTTGTGAGGATGTTATGCCCACGGAAGTTGAAGTTGAGCTTGAATGAAAGTGTGAATAATTTTTTCATCATAGTTGAAAAAATTTCACCATGATACCACCTAGTAAAGATTGTAATCTCGAACCAAGATGGCGAATACCGGAACATAGTATGTGTAACAGGTTAGGGTTAGGTCATAACTTCAAGTACATATACTATGGGAGTCACTTGCCTAGTCCCCGAACTAGAACTAAAATAACCAAAATAGGAATAAAATTATGGCCTAACCCTAACGTGGTACACATACTACGTTTCAGTGTCCGCCATCTGGGTTCTCATACCCTTTTCTGTGGGTCCTTTCCTACTCTATTCCATCACACTGGGTGAGATATTGACCATGGCATTTGAAATGAACTCAAGTTCTTTAACTTTTGGCGCAGTATAGATAGAACAAACACATAGTGCCCTAACAATATGGTATTCTGCAAACTAAATTGAAAACGTGGGCCAAAGTGGACAAATATCATACACACCTTTGTTAGAAAATATTGAGCTGCACCTTGAACAAAATCTCAAACAAAAGTGTCATCTTGTTTCTTACTATTTGAATAGTGTTTTTTATCTAGTATTACAATATTAGGACAATATTTGTAAGAATTTAAAAGATAAAGATAGAATAGGTTATCGATCATGGACATACTTTGCTAATGTTTGGCACAGGCAGAACTGTAGGGTAATATTTATGATATATATTGTATATTAGAATCCAACAAAATTCATTTTATTGTGTGTAATTAAATGTAGCAAATTCTCAAAAAAATCTTTTTGATTGGTATGGAAATTGTTACTTTTGTTTTGCACTTTAACTTGTGAGATGTATGGTGGCCCATCGTTTTCACGTGTAAAATTTAAAAAAAAATGAAGAAATAAAATGAAAAAGCGAAAATAAAAAAATAGTTGTAAAAAAACATAACAATAATTGAAAAAATAAAAAAAAAAAAAAAAATTAAATTAAAAAAAAAATTGAAAAATAAAACAAAACAAAAAAAATTAAAATTAAAAAAAAAAATTGAAAAATAAAATTGGATAAAAAGAAAATAAAAAGGTTGACAACGATGGTCCGCCTCGTGGCCCATCGTTGTCACGCGTTTTTATTTTTGAAAAATTTGATGCTGCTTGGGACCAACGTTGTCAGGCTTAATCCTACACGCACAAATGTGTTTCCTGGGTTTCTAACTCACTACTGATTTTCATGAGCAATATCCAATAAATTCAACATGATAATGTTCTATAAATTCTCCATGCTACAAGTTCAACCACAAGCAATATATTTATAATAATGATAAGAGAATATAGAATTGGATACGAAAATTTGTTTTTACGTGTAGAAGGTAATTTAATTGGAAAATGCTGCTTAACTGCTCAGACACTCGTGCGATGCCGGTACGGTACCGTCTGACCGTACCGGTACCCATGCAATCACTCGTGGAAGAATGGGAGATACGGATAGTCTACTGAAACAGTCTCTGCGCCTGCCCCATACCGTACAGCCGTAACGTACCGATCCAGACAAATGATAAATCGCCCGGGCTCAACCATTTATTTCAATCCATACCTCGACTCACTATATTCTACTAGGCGGTGTGGCTCAACGGGCTAAGCGTTAGGAATACGCTCGCCACCGCACCTCTAGTCACTCTGCATGGGTTCGCAGGTTCGAATCCCATGCAGGGATGGTTATGTGCGAGAGGATTGCTGGACTCCTCGCCGTCGTTGGGTGGTTCACGTAACCGCTGGTCGGTTACGGCTTCCTCCACCACCAAGTCCATGCTTCCGAAAACAAACAATACAGTAAAAACTAATCCCATACCCGACTTGGAATGGTAACCGGACGAGAGGCCGTGGTTCGCCATATGGATAAGCCGTCTTATCGGCTTTCCTCTCCCCCGGGATAAATATGTAAATCCTATCCTATCCTATCATGGTATGGATTGAAATAAATGGTTGAGCACTGGCGATTTATCATTTGTCTGGATCGGTACGTTACGGCTGTACGATATGGGGCAGGCGCAGAGAGTGTTTCAGTAGTCTATATTCTACGAGACTATCCGTATCTCCCATTCTTACATGAGTGATTGTATGGCTACCGGTACGGTCAGGCGCAAAGCGACTATAACCGACTACCGGTATTTGGTAAGATGGTACGGTACCGGCATCGCGAGTGTCCAGACAACTGAGTAGTTAAGCAGCATTCTCCAATTAAATTACCTTATACACGTAAAAACAAATTTTCCGAATTTTCGTATTCAATTCTATATTCTCTTATCATTATTATAAATATATTACTTCTTGTTGAACTTGTAGCATGGAGAATTTATAGAACATTTTCATATTGAATATTGCTCAAGAAAATCAGTAGTGAGTTTGAAACCCAGAGAACACATTTGTGCGCGTAGGATTATGCCTGACAACGTTGGTCCCAAGAAGAGGCAAATTTTCTAAAAATAAAAACGCGTGACAACGATGGGCCACGAAGCGGACCATCGTTGTCAACCTTTTTATTTTCTTTTTATTCAATTTTTTTTTTTTTAATTTTTTTTTTTTTTAATTTTTTTTTTTTCAATTATTTTTATGTTTTTTTACAACAATTTTTTTATTTTCGGTTTTTTATTTTTATTTTCAATTTTACGCGTGACAACGATGGGCCACCATAGAGATGTGATACCTGAGAAGTACCGTAAAATTATCAAATATAGGGACAAACTAGACTGAAAACTAAAAAAATTTAATTATAATAATAAATAGTAACAATCCGAACTATGTTCGTGCCTCTTCTCCCTTGAAACGTTAATAGTTTAGTTTTTGTTTTGTTATTTGAGGTTGCGAGTGAAAACACCCCATACAAGGTTTCGCTCGAATCCCAAGAGTCTCTTTTTAATTTTGTGCAAAACAATCTGATTCTTCAAAATAAACTATGAATAAAATAGTCGAAAATTGGGCCATCTCAATTTTGCATTTGACAGATGCATGGACATGATGGAAAGAAGAAACTACATTCTGTCATATTCACACTGATAGCATTCAAACAAATTCATGAGCACTTTTGTGAGTACTTGCACTTTTAGAAAGTAGCAAAGGCCTCTAAACTTGATGATGGCTGATATAAATAGATAGAAAAAACCAAGGCGACACTAAAACAAACAAGGAAAAACAAATGATCACACACATCACTTTCTATGTAAAATCAAACATTCTTCACAACAATCCATAGAGAAAATAATTATTTACTTGTTTCCATGATACCAGACACCTTCAGCCAACAATCAAACAATAGAATCATACTTACAATAGATCAGGCAAACAAAAGCTTTGTGATATCATAATTCCTATTGATTCAGACAATTATGAGCAAAGAATGGTGGAGGCAGGTTAATTTTCATGTCACATGTTATTAACAATGCTTTATTTTCAAATGTTCTTCAATTCAAAGTGCACTCTGTACATACTATCCAAGCCCATAAACCCTTACAGTTATGGTTTGACACATCTTGTTTTCTAGGAAGACTGATTTTGTAATAGGGTTCCATCGCTCTGAAAAATGTTATATAAATGCAGGAGCACCTGATACTTGTATGCCATATGTATTTGGAGAGACTTAAATCTTTCCAGCTTGATAATATCTATTCAATTTATTAAGATGATGATCGTGGAAGCTGAAACCAGAATCTTTAATCGGTTATTAACTAACATTTGATTTTCCTATTTATCCCGAGGTGGAAGAATATGATAACTTTTTCAATTGGTATTGTTGACTCAATAATAGAGAAATATGTCCCCAATTCTGGACTTCGAAAATGATATATCATGATATATGAAAATAAAATTCCTCAAACTTCCTACCCTTCCTGCCTCTTACCCTAATGTGGGTCGTCTTCCATGCTTCAATGCAGCTTTCTTTTTCTCAATAGCATTTTCCAATCCTGAAAACCTGATTTCAAAAAAATAGACTATATAGAATTACACACGCTAAAGTGTTGAACATCCCTTTCGAATTATGCCTGAGTAAAAACTGATGTCGAAGATGTAACTAAAAAATCTGAAACTGTATATAACTTTGATTCATATCTCATAAGTAATATTTTTTTACAGCCTAGTGTAAAATATACTTTCTAATAGTCAATCCTTTACATAATACATCCTGAATCAAAATAAAATAACTCAACTCAAGCTTCAAACTCCAATGACTAGTCCTACCATAATTACTGCATAACCATCAACTTCTTCCCCAAAAAAATGTTTACTACAGTAGTTCTTTGACATCTTTGCTCCCAACAGGGCTTCAGAAATGCAGTACATAATACATGATGAAATATTATTATTTATATGGAACTTTAAACTCCAAAACTTTCTCCAAAATTTAAGTCAAAACTTAAGTTACAGTAAACAAAAGAATAACTTCATTTGTGTTTTATATTGGACTTCCTTATTGATTCAAATAAGATGTCAAAAATTAAACGTAATAACTTTCAGCAAAATGAAATAAAGGTATATTGTAGTTCACACTCGCATTATATGATTGAAAGTTATTAAGAATCAGAATAAAATGTAAGTGGTAATGCTTTAAAAATTATTACTTTTTGGACCATCGTCTTAAGAATGATGTGTCAGTGACCCTAAGTACTCAGTTGTTATAAAACTTTTTTAAATGTACAATAACACATCAACTGAATCAATCTAACAATTCAAATGTCTTGAAACTCAAATGAAAAAAATATTAAACAAGTGTATAAAGCAAATAAGGTAGACTGTATTTTGATTGAACTTTGACACAATCATACAGATATTGTTTTGATGATATGCATCTCATATCATATCATATTCTCTAATAAAATTGCTTATTGGCTACATTTGATAACACAAAAGCCCTTTAAATTTCATTCAACATACGTTTTCTAGCTGAATTTGTTTGTACCTAGTATTGCGCTGTAAAGCTTGGTTATAAAAATTTCAAAGCAGTAGCAAAGCAAATATGGAAGACTCGATTTTGACCTATCGTCACATGAATAAGCTTTAATATTATAACATATTATATATATTCTCTGATATTATTAAATATATATTTTCAGATTGAAAAAAAATTACTCCTTAGCTACATTAGATACCACACACTGTTTTATTGAGTTTAAGTTTTATTGAACTTACGTTTTTAGCTGAAGTTGTTTGTACTCAATATTGAGCTGCATGGCTTGGTTTTTCAACTCAATGCTCAGTCTCATCTTCTCTTCCAGTTTCTGAACAACATTCTTGCGTTCCAGTTGTAGAATAACGATCGACAGCGAATGATATTGACGCAAAATGTCAACAGAGAGTACAACTTTTTTCTCCTGGAAAATTTATTTTGAAAGATGATCACTCATGGTCATACTCTTTTCTTGAAATAGGTTTGGTAGTTTTGCTCTTACTAAACTTTGATATTATTTTGAAATGCCAGGTTTCAATATAGTATGAGGCAAAAAATGAATAAAACCGAATATTCCGGATAATAAACTTGAGAACTTAATGTTTTTCAGTGAAGACTGAATGCTATAATAAATTCGTATCTCAACGTTGCTCTTTGCCTAAATAAATTCCTTGATTTATGTATGGCCGTCCTGTACATAATTATTTAATAATTGCATCTCATTTATTATAATTTCACATATAATGGGACCTTATAAGAAGCACAAAGTTTATTCATGACATGAATAAACATTACTACAAATGAAACAGGACTGACTAAAATTATTATTTCTGCAGCAATCACTAGCAAAACTCAGTGATGACCGGCCAGCTTCAGTTTGATATTCAATGCATAGGATTCAGATCAATTTTAAAGCAATTTTCAGCAAACATATCAGCCAGTACTAATTTAAAATTATAAATAAAACTCTCTTTCTCTTATATTTCGGGAGAGTTTGCTAAAGAATTTTTATAAAAAATTCTATAAAATTCATGTTCTACTCAAAAGAACACTATTTCAAATTACCTTAGTAGCAGCTGCCATTGCCGAAGCCTGAAATTATTTTGAAATAATTTTTGAATCAAGACAAGCCGACACAGCATGCATAAGTGGTTAAATCTCATCAGATTTTTCATGCATTCATTTTCTCAATTATACAAATATAATATCTAATCAATTATTTTGGAATCATATACAAATTTATACAACAAGCATCAATAGAACTAACTGATTTCAAACAGAATATGTTATCAAATAAATTTTGATATATAAATTATATTGAATACAGCAAACACACCTTTGTTAAATAGAAGTTATATTTAGTGAAAAAGGGGAAACGTTGCTTTTCATAAATTGAGATAATATAATTAAATTTTATATGAAGTCACAGCAATTTTGCATCAACCAAAATTGAAATAAATTCCAAGCAAACCTCTTAGTTTATAGACAACCTTGATATCATTTTCAAATTGTAGGCTTACATTCATACTCATATAGGTATGCATAGACAGTATAACAAGTCTAATTTATGGCAACAATGCATTAAATCAAATAATATAATTAATTTCTTTTCATATCAAGTTACAGCAATATCGCACTGATCAAAATTGTAATAAATTCAACAGATATATCCATGTATAGAAAACCCTGATATATTTATCATATTGCAAACTTCCACACACAGATATGCATGTGTGATAATTATTATAATTAAATTTTTATTATTAATTCATATCAATTTTGCTGAATATTGAATTAATCAATATTGCAATTTCTTTCCGAAGTTGAAATATACATCCATTAATTCTTCCCTTGCATGTATTTTGCAATTAAAGACTTATAAACACAAATATGCATCCTACTCATTAACACACGTCAGCTTGTTTGTACAAGTTCGTTTAAGTCAGGGCTCTAAAACTCAATTTACCTATGGGCCACTAGTGGCAGGGTCTGGGCCGCATCAGGTTTCCACAATGAAAGCTTAGTTTAAAAAATCAAAATCTTTTATTTTTTCAATCAAGCATTTTGCCAATGGACCAAGATGTCTCACCACATGGAAAACATGGTTACAACGTATCAATATAAATCTGAGCGTTAGTGATTGTGACGTCAAAAATCCGAGAACTTATATTAAATGTTTTAATCATTGATCGTGTGAACTAAATTGAGTGACTTGCAGCCCGGGCCACACTAACATCAAACTTTCATACTGGGGCAAGGGCCACAAACTATCGTCCTGCGGGCCGTAATTGGCCCCTGGTTCAAGTGTTTGTAGAGTGTAAACTTATTTGCAGGAAACATAGCATTCAAAATATTCTCCTATTATCTAAATAAACACTAACCTGTTTCAGTTCATTCCTCTTCTTATTTAAATCCACAGAATCTGAACTAGATGAAGATGATGATGATTTTCTACTATGAGACTTGGGTGCATTCGGGATTCCCTACAAAAAAAAAATTGATAAATATCGTACATTTTCAAGTAATCCCCCCCCCCCACTAATATACGAATACACGGTGCTCCCGAATTATGTGAACCAAGATGGCGGACACGGGAATGCAGTATATGTACCAGGTCAAAATTAGGCCATAAAAGTTGGTAATGAAAGCTGCTTGCTAATACAACATTCAGGTATCCCTAACTTGTAATAGAAAAAAATTTGAATAAAATTACGGCCTAACTCTAACCTGGCACACATACTACGTTCCGGTGTCCGCCATCTTGGTTCACATACTTCGGAATAAAAATCAAATGGCTACACAGTTTAACAATATGAACCATTAGAAGAAAAGTATTACCTTGATTACAACAGTGGTGGCATTTGTTGTATAATTATACTGTTGCTGCTGCTGTTGTTGTTGTTGTTGTGTAGTATAAACATGGGTTTGCCCTACGGGATAACGAGCTGTTGTGGTTGTCACTGTCGCTGAACTACTTGCAGCACAACCCATGATTATGTATTAAACAGCAGATAATGCTTATTAGAAAATTTACAAGTTCTGAAACATAATATATCAATCTAAACAACTCAGTCCTTAATTCGATGAAAAATGAGCAATTATGGTGAAGTGAAACATATTGAATATGATTGGTAAGAATTGTTGGAAACAATGAAAAACTTTCTTGTACATCGATATTTGATTTCGTCTGAGAAGAATGTAACTGTCAGCTCATATAACATTTTTATATGACGCTTAATCACAGCTTTTGCTCTGAACAAGGCCCTATACAAGTAGCCACTGACATCCAACAATATTTAGGGAGATACTTATTATTTGGAAGAACCAAAATCATTCTGGTTCAGCCTTTCCTACTCAATTTATCACAGCCTGGGTAAGGTTGGGGGCATGAGATTCAAAGATGTATAATCTGTGACCCTAACACCAAAACACAGTAAAGTCTAAAGTTTTAAACGCTAGGCAATCGCGTCGCCCATACAATTTTTTATATAATCATGGAATTCTGCCCAAATGAAAGGATTTATTTTTGACCTGGCCATGTCGGGTATGGGATTAGTTAGCTAGTTATTTGTTTTCGGAAGCATGGACTTGGTGGTGGACCAGCGGTTACATGAACCATCCTCTCCTCTCGCACATAACCATCCTTGCATGGGATTCGAATCTGCGAACCCACGCCGGGTAATCGAAGATGCGGTGTCGAAAGTATTCCTAACACTTAGCACCATCTGACGATGCGCCACACTGCCGTAAATTATTGCTTCCTAGTATTCTGGCATCTCCGTACTATGAGTTGTCATTTTTGTACCATGGCTAGTTGAAAAAAATTATCATCTCCAACTTGGTCATTGTACTCAATGTACTGATTTGATTTTGGGGTCTAGTATAGTTTAGTACCACAAGTACTTCGATTTTTGCATATGTTTCCTAACCCTCACCTGACTATGCCCTCCAAAAATTATGTCACTAAGACGTCACCATCACGTCATAGGGATTGCTAACAGGGTTTGCTAAAGTATAGTTACGATCGCCCGATATGGCATCTTCGCCGCCGATAAGAACTTGCTAAAGCCGGCGATCTCTCTCCTATCGTGATCGTTGCGACGAGAAAACAAGAGAAATAGCTTGCTCGATATCGGGTTATTGTCTGCGCGTTTTGGACGACCATCCGCATACTTCGGTGGGCCTTATTACGCCACTGTGACGTCAGAATGACGTAATTTTTCGGTGACGTAGTCAGGTGGGGGTTAGGATTGACATATGCAAAAATTGTTGAGCCAGGCCAACTAGAAGTGGATGTGGTACTAAACTATACCAGACCCTAATTTTGCATGGTACCTAATTCTGAAATTAACTTACTGGTATCCTACTAACTGACTACTAAATTGCCATTAAGTTATGACATTTATCTAGCTGAACCAGTTAACAGTCACGGTAACTTTTTAATCTGTTTGAATCTGCTTTAGTACCGTAGGTATCCACAAAATAAGTGGCGTGGTCTAATTCTCAATCTCACACACAAGCAGAATGTTGGATGTTTACATGTGACGTCAAATTCACCATGGCAAAGTTAAATCTGAAACGCGACACATAGCGGACTATGAACGCACGAGTTGGGCGCTACTACGTCATCATTTTGCTAAATTTAATTAGGTTAGGTTTTACATATTTATCCCGGGGGAGAGGAAAGCCGATAAGACGGCTTATCCATATGGCGAACCACGGCCTCTCGTCCGGTTACCATTCCAAGTCGGGTATGGGATTAGTTTTTACTGTATTGTTTGTTTTCGGAAGCATGGACTTGGTGGTAGAGGAAGCCGTAACCGACCAGCGGTTACGTGAACCGACCAGCGGTTACGTGAACCACCCAACGACGGCGAGGAGTCCAGCAATCCTCTCGCACATAACCATCCCTGCATGGGATTCGAACCTGCGAACCCACGCAGAGTAATTAGAGGTGCGGTGGCGAGCGTATTCCTAACGCTTAGCCCGTTGAGCCACACCGCCGCGCCTTGTATTCAATTCTATTAAAAAGGATATGCTTTGGAATATATTTGCATATTTGAGATGGTTTTATTGATGGAAATAACTAAAATGTTACACTGAGGCATTACGATAAAGTAGGGTGTCGTGGCATCTGTCAGTCATCCCTGAGTCGGTACCAATAAGTTATCAAAGTGGAGTAGGGGCAGAGAAATTCTGCTGTTCTGCGATTGCATTTATTGTATAGTAATTCAAACTTTATACCATGATTATAGCACAGTAGTAAGAATTTAGATTTTTCCGGCTCTATACAAGTATGCAAGCTCTGCAGAAGTACTAGTATATTATTATTTTTTTCAGTTACCTTGTTACTTCATCCTAGGACTGTGTGATACTGGACTTGGTGGACTATAAATATAAGACGACCAAAATTGACATACACTGAAATATGAAAATCTTATTTATCCCAGATCCAGTCAGAGTATTTTAAAAGAATCAATGAAACGGATCAATGTAAACTAGTGTGCTGTTGAGCTCACACTGGAATTTTCATTGAATGAATTCATGTCAACCGCGAATCAGATTTTCATGTTTGAATGATAGGCCGCGAGCCGAGGACATTTATCTTTCAGTTTCGTAGCGCACATCAGGTAACTACCTGAAAATGATTTTAAAATGTTCCTTAGAAATTTAGTAACAAATATTGCCTTGTTCCCACTTCCAAAAGTTGCACGTTTTACAGAAAAAACGCTTTTACTACAATAAATATGTGTTACCATCTGTCCTATTTTCTCTGCTTTTCCGGTATCATGGGCCAATGAACGCAGACTTCTGCACGACGTAACAGTCAAGTTAGTCAGCTGTAGGTGGATCCCCAGTGGTCGGATGAATATCAGATGTACTACAACTGCTCGCTTTTGCGTTGAGTAGCCTTTCCATCGTTTTTTTCAGTTACCGGTAATATTAGTTCAGTTATTCTAAGGAGGTGTTGAAAAGTATGGGTAAGATATTAAACACTTGTATATCCTTACCATAAATAGCAATATTAGTTGAGCACTAGCTCATAAGACGTTGTTAAATAGGTACGGAGCGGTAACTCCAAGGAAGGCTAGACCTAGAATAATATGTCACAAACAACGATATTTTCTGGCTTGCATGAAATGTTTATGATTAATTTAATGACTCTTCTTGACTATTCAGCAGACTTATACTACTATATAGGCCACAGCATATTTGGAAATATAAATGAATGGCTGTTTCTGTAATGCACGATTGTGTGAAAGAGAAGAAATTATTCAAAATGTCGGTTGGTCTAAATCTAAATTCATAGAGTCGACAAAAACCTGGGAAGCAATGATAAGTTATGCCGGAGTGGAAAGAAAGGTAGCATTGGAAACGATTGAGAGGTGAGAAATCAAGTTGTAGACAAACAGTTGATGTTTTAAAATATAGTCTATAGTCCCTACTCATACTGTCATAGGACATTTCAGACTGTGATATATCAAAATTTAGTGTAGATATAGTCTAGTAATGGTATGCAAACACTGCTGGACTGTAGTACATGCAATGAGCATATATACGCTCATTTAGTACATCAGATAAAATGCATTATGTATTCAAGGTATTAGTTAGTGTTTAGGGGTATTTTTAAACTCATGCTGCTCCAAATATTATTTTCTTCCTCATTTTAGATACTGTACTACAAAAGAAAACGGCAATGTTCCACCAATCCGACCTAACGCAGGCTCTGATCCCTGCTGCTATCAGTGCTATAAAATGGATTAAACAAGAAGTCTTGAAGCTTAAAGGTATATGAGAATCATAATAGTTGCAAACAGCTTAGATGGGCTATTCATATTGAAATACTTTAGCACTTTTCTGCAATTGGAACTGCCCATCAAATTCATGTTGGAGACTTCATTGAGATTTTCAATTCATTTTTTTCTCAGCTATGAAAATCTTTTGAGGTTAACGAGGCATTAATAAATAAAGCTGATGAATTTGTTTGTTCACTGTATGAAGAGGATATGAAGAATGTAAATGATACCAGGTCACGTCTATTTAACACTGGCAAACATAAGGATTATACTCTCCACCCAACAATGATTCACTGAAGAAGCATGTGGCCCTCAAATCAGTTCTTGAGTTGGCAAACTGCAAGTGTAAGAAAAAAGGTCAAATTAATTTATGCAAGTGTGCCAAAATCAACTTAAATTGCACAGATTTTTGTTTTTGTATTGACTGCAAACATCACAGTACACTTATAGAGGAAAAGTCGATTTTCGAGATAGTGAATTTCGAAAACAATTCAGAAGAAAGTGGATTGGATATTGCAGTTGATTCAATAAGTATCATTTATTTGTTTTTCTTTCAGACATTTGTTAGTGTCGTAGTCCTGTTTCTAAAAATAATATTGCCTTTGTTCAAATACATACCCACATAAACTAAAAAAAGACTAATTGTAATATTTCTGTTCACTATGTTATGTACATATTGAACATTCATTTAATTTTCTTGACTTTTTCGGTAAATTTCTAAGTGAGAAATAACTGATTTATTTGTGTTTTCGTGCTCACGATGTTAATTTGTGACTTCATTGCTCAAAAATAAATACGTTTGATAGCTTCTATAAAATGGATGTAGCTTTTTATGCTGTTCTTGTTGTAAACTGCTTGTGGTTATTCGCTAATGTGAATCAGCGTTGTTGGTGTCGCTGCTTTCGAGGTCACTCGCGACTCCTGTCACACAATTAAAGTATTTTTTGTTGTTGGTTACATGTATGCCATATTTTTCGTAATCTACCTAATAAATTATGATTGACTGAGGAAGTCCGATTTTGGTCATGCAAAACATTACAGGGATACATTTGTAATAGTGTGCTGTATGGCTCCCGAATAGTTCTATGTATGTGTTGTAAACTTATGGTTATTGAATTTCCGGGAACCTCTTATATTCAATTTAGCATCAGGATTGTGGAACAAGCTGTAATGCGTTCAGTATGTTCATTTTCACACAAAAATGAAGAATTTATTTAGTTACCAGATGTGCGCTACGAAACTCA